CTATCATTGCCAGGCCTCTGCTGTAGTAAGTGATCCTGCAAAGAACAGTCAATTCCATTCCTTGGAGTATTCTGAGTTTCTTTCAGTCATCTCCCCATTTCAATTTTTTATCTCCCCATTTCAATCCTGATCACGACCACCGCCCCCTTCTCTCTCTCTCTGTATATATATATATATATATATATATATATATATATATATATATATATATATATATATATATGTATATATATATATATATATAGTAATAGAAATTATATACTCTACTTTAATCAGTGTCTGCCCCCCCCCCCCTTAATAAATTCTAAGTTCCACCCTCAAAGTGCCTCCATGGTAAAAATGTTTAAAAGAAACTCTAATGCTGACAATTTCCTTTTTTAGCTTGCTCGTCTTTTACTACCGGCTATATAATTAAAAATATACATATATTGTAACCTATGGAAGCACATTTGTCCAAGCAGACACTGATGTACGCTTGCAAAAACATAATGCTGGGTAGCACTGCATTAGGAGATAGCGATGTTCGATCAGGAGCAGAGGCGTAGCGACCCTTCCCGGCGCCCGGGGACATACTTTCAATTTGGCGCCCCCCTCGGGAGCAAATTTTCGATTTGCACCCCCCCCTCGAACTTTTCATTTGCACCCCCCCCCTCGAACTTTCGATTTGCACCCCCCCCTCGAACTTTTCATTTGCACCCCCCCCCTCAAACTTTCAATTTGGCGCCCCCCCTAAGGTCGGCGCCCGGGGACATATGTCCCCCCCCGCCCCCCCCTCGCTACGCCTCTGATTCAGGAGGATGCGCTGACCGGAAAGATGCGCAACGAAAAACTGCGCACAAAAAAAATGCGCAAGGGCATTTTGTATGCTTAAATCGAGCATTTATAGATATTAACAAAGCGTGACTACATGTACATTATAGAATAATAAAACATATTTCCATGAAATATGACAAAATTAAAGTGTTATTATAATTAGCTTGTATTTGAGCATTTTATTGTTTGCACAGTTTTCCGGTGCGCAGTTTTCCGATTGCGCATTTTTACTTTGAACCTGAGGACGCACACACCAGGGATCTATATACATGCACATGGTGTTGCCCGAATTTATAACTCGTCAGCGCTGGCTTTTCCCTGACTAGACATGATTCGAAAAAATGCATCAACGAATTATCTTACCAATTTGCTCGGAGTCAATGGCCTCAATGGCGCATAACCAGTTGACACATAACGCTTAATTGTGTTGGAGGCGTGGTCGAGTCGGCAAAAAGCTCATGGTTGATAAATTCGAACAAAAAGTTTTGAGTTCAAACCCACTGGCAGATAAATCTCGATCCCCTTCAACACTAATAATTGAGAACGAAGAAGAAGAAAGAAGAAATGTAGTTCACATTTTTTAATAATAGGTGAGGTTTGCAACACCGTGACGTCCAAACCGAAATGGGAGCTTGGACATTTGTTCTGCTGTTTCTAGCCCCTACTCTAACTGAGTGCAGAGGAAGAGGAGGTAAATGCACAACCAATGTAGTGTCTATATTGAAAATGCTAAATTTCGAACAGTTTATTTTCAGGCAGTTATCTCGTAGATTGTCAGCCCCCCCCCCCCCCCCCCCGAATTTTTTTTTACCCCCCCCCCCCCCTCCGAACGAAATGAAATTTATATAATGTATATAGAAAATATATAAGTTTAGCAGTGTCCGCCCCTCCCGATGAAAGTCTACCGCCCCCCCCCCCCCGAAAATTTCAAGTGCCCCCCCCCCCCCGGAGAAAAAAGTCTGGAAGAAACACTGAGTCCGATTCCGGGTCAAAGTCAGTGGAACGTCCTTGAGTCCACCCAGCTCTGATCGGTACCCAACTCAGGTTAAGGAAAGTAAAAGGCGACTGTGCAAAGTGCTGACTGCACTTTCCCTTCATAAGCCGATGTCAGAAAACATATTAGCTCTACTTCATCTGCCCAGCGGATCGTTAGGTCTAAAAAGAATTAGTTACTTTTTCTTTACGTCGTAGATTTGTCAAATCTACATTTTACTCGATGGAAACCCTCGACCTATAACCAAAAATAACGTAACAAGATCAAGCTATTATAAATCCAAATCTTTTTTAAAAGTCTATTCAAATACTGTACGTTTATAGTACATTTTCCCAAAATGTGGCGACGATAAATTTAAGGGATCCGGAGAGGGGGTATCTTTTACGCTACATGCAGTGTTTCTTCCCGACTATTTTCTCCGGGGGGGGGCACTTGAAATTTTCGGGGGGGGGGGGGGCGGTAAACTTTCTTCGGGGGGGGGGGGGACACTGTTAAAAGTATACATTTTCTATATAAATTATATAAATTTCATTTCGTTCGGGGGGGGGGGGGGGGGCTGGAAGAAACTCTGGCTACATGTACGACTACTTTTATTCAACTGTAGACCTTCTTCAAGTCTGTTTAAACAATTCATAAAGTTCATTTCTACACAAACAGCTCACCTGGAATCAGAGGCGTAGCGACCCTTCCCGGCGCCCGGGGACAAGCTTTTCGATTTGCACCCGACACCCCCTCGAGATTTCGATTTGCACCCCCCCTCCCCCTCAAACTTTCGATTTGCACCCCCCTCAAACTTTCGATTTGCACCCCCCTCAACCTTTCAATTTATTTTTCCAACACATTTTGGCGCCCTAAGGTCGGCGCCCGGGGACATATGTTCCCCCCCCCCCTCGCTTCGCTACTGCCGGGAATAGACCTACTCTCTGAATTCTATTTAAATATTTTGAAAATCACGTTTAGTGTTATAAGTGTTGAACATCTAAACACAAAATACTTTCTAGCTTTAGCAAAGTCCCGTAAAAAAACATCGAAAGTGAAGTTTTCTTTTAAAATGTAATTAGATTACAAATATTAATTTAGTTAAAAGTACAAAATGGGACCAGTCATGTGGTATTTGACCACCTGAGAGACCGACATTTTTTCCAAAAAAAAATTCTTTAATTGTATTAGTAAAACTGTTAATCTAAAGACCATCTAATGAGCTTCTTTCTTTGATTGTATTTGTAAAACTGTTCATCTGTAAAAATCTTGTGAGATTCTTCTCTTTAATTGCATTGGTAAGACTGTTCCTCTGAAAAAATCTAGTGAGCTTTTTTTTCTTTGATTGTATTGGTAAAACTGTTCATATGTAAAAATCATGTGAGATTCTTTTCTTTGCTTGCATTGGTAAAACATTTCAACTGAAAAAAATCTATAGTTCCTTTTTTTATTGCATTGGTAAAACTTTTAATCTGAAATAATTTATTGAGCTTCTTTTCTTTGATTGCATAGGTAAACTGTTTATATGAAAAAAATTAGCTTTTTTCTTTGATTGTATTAGTAAAACTGTTAATTCAGAAAAAAAATCGATTGGGCTTTTTATGAAGTTTTTTAATTATCACTTAGTTTATCATTTCTAAGCTCATGTTTAGATAGTGTCTCATGCCGTGTCGAACACAAAACTGATACGGAGAGCTGGGTGATATTTCATTAGTTAAATTTGATGAAAATACATTCCTTTCTAGCAGGATTTGCATTTGATTAACTGAGAAAAATTAGAGAAAATTTATTTTGGCTTTATTGAAAAGGTAAAGATAGAGTTAGTTGCCGAAATCCAAACACAATAAAGTGCGATGACGGTAGATGCTTTAAAAAATGGGAGCTTTGTGATGGTAAAACTAATTGTCAAGACAGATCAGATGAATATCGATGCAGTGAGTATACAAATACCCATTTTTACTGCATAGCGTTCTGTTCCGTTGTGTTCTGTTCTGTAGTGTTCTGTTTTCTTCTGTTGAGATGTGCTATGCTGTGCTATGCTGTGCTATGCTATGCTGTGCTATGCTGTGCTATGATGTGCTATGCTGTGCTGTGCTGTGCTATGATATGCTATGCTGTGCTATGCTGTGCTGTGCTATGCTATGCTATGCTATGCTATGCTATGCTATGCTATGCTATGCTATGCTGTGCTATGCTGTGCTATGCTGTGCTATGCTGTGCTATGCTGTGCTGTGCTGTGCTATGCTGTGCTGTGCTATGCTGTGCTATGCTGTGCTATGCTGTGCTGTGCTATGCTGTGCTATGCTATGCTGTGCTATGCTATGCTGTGCTATGCTGTGCTATGCTGTGCTATGCTGTGCTATGCTGTGCTATGCTGTGCTATGCTGTGCTGTGCTGTGCTATGCTATGCTATGCTATGCTATGCTATGTTATGCTATGCTATGCTATGCTATGCTATAATTTATTCTATTCCATTATTGTATATAGTAACGTCTTTTTCTTGCATGTTGCTTCTCACATGAATAAATAGATGACTTACTGAATTCGAACCTTGGTACTAGATCTCAATCGAAAATTATAATATGAGCATAGTAAAAGCAATGCCAAAAATGGGGCATTTGTTTTATGTGACATTTTTTTTATAATAACATTGGATACAATTGGTTTTGATTAAATTGAATTGGATCAGACTGAATATGATTATTGTTCTCTTATATTTTTGATAATTCCTGCTGTTTAATATGGAAGTTTATGTCTTCTCAGGAAAATGTAACTATATAAATAAATTTAGATGTGCCAACGGTTATTGCATTCCTAAAAGATTTCTTTGTGATGACATCAATGACTGTTTTGATGGATCTGATGAGAATTACTGCAGTAAGTATGATAAAAGACATAGTCTCATGTTTGAAAACATTTATTGAAGTAATTCTACAGTAACAAAGTCAGCTCGAGGATATTATATATTTTATTTTCAAAATAGCTAGAAATATATTATCGAAACACTCACATTCCGTTTAATGCTTTAGTTTTAAAACAGATTTGTACTCTTAAATGTATTTTGTACAACAATATACAGAAAGCGACACTATGTACAAACATATTAATAGTAAAATCGATTTTTAAGATAATACTGAAAATATAAAAATTTAAAATTATAAGTGTTTAATTCTGTGTTACGTCTACGTCTACGTCTATATCTACGTTTATGTCTTCGTCAATGTCTATGTCAATGTCTACGTTTTCGTTGAGAACGTATTGTTAAAATAACTCGTGAGAAAATCGTACCTGCAAAGATTTTTTTTCGTACACACACATATATATATATATATATATATATATATATATATATATATATATATATATATATATATATATATATATATATATATATATATATATATATGTATATATATATATATGTATATATATATATATATCAGGCTAATATATATATATATATATATATATATATATATATATATATATATATATATATATATATCAGGCTAAGGCTATATATTTCCGCTCGGTAAAATGTACCTATTTTTCCCTCGTCCCCAGGTAATAGAAAGATACAGACAACCCATCCCCGCAAACAAACTGTAAAAGTCAAACCGGCGTGGATGTTCGTGAGCAGCCAGAGAACAAACACCCACACAGACATCTGCGATTTGCTTTGCGACATTCAGCTGGGCGGGGAAGCTTGCCAGTGCAGCCACCCTAGTCTACCGGGATAGACAGACTTTTGTCTGCAGCGTTAGACAGACATTTGTCAGGAGGATTAGACAGACTCTTAATATCAAAGTTTCTATAACTTTCTACCGTTGATACAAATGTCTGCTATAACTATGGCTATTATAAAAAAACATTAAAACAAGAAATAAAGTTTATCGCAACCAAAAATAATGTTCAGTTATCTATTATGTTTCATTATCTGGTCCCTGCAACGTTGTAACATATAAAACAAAAATGTGTTTGTCTAAAAAGAAAAGCTGTTTATATTATTATAAAAAATAGTGTTTATATTAATTTCCTTAAATAACTGTTTTAAAGCTAACCAGAGGCGTAGCGAGGGGGGGGGGGAGGTGCCTACCTTAGGGGGCGCCAAAATGGGTTGGAAAAGAAAATTAAAATCTCATTTTAGCTGCAGTTTTGCAAAATAAATCTAAAAAATATGTGTGGGGGTGCAAATCGAAAGTTTGAAAGGGGGGGGGGGGTGTTCAAATCGAAAATTTGAGTGGGGGGGGGGGGGGGGGGGTTGCAAATTGAAAATTGAAAGGTTGCTCCCGAGGGGTGGGACATATTGAAAGTTTGTCCCCGGGCGCCGGGAAGGGTCGCTACGCCTCTGAAGCTAACACATTTATTTCGTTTATTTAAACAGCAGATCGCTTTTTACTTTTATATTTTAGAGGGTGATCTAGCCATGCTAAAAAAAATAACCAATGCCAAACTGTAGAGAAAATCCTGGGCAAGACCCAATGTGTAAAAAGAAAAACGCATACGGGGATGGATTTGCCACACCCCGCGTAAACCAACTAGCAACATCACCAGACAGGCACTGGATTGGAATATCTAATGAAAGAGGAAAGCAGGTAGGCAAAAAAAAAAAACAACTTGTAAATGGTCAGCAGAGCCCCCCCCCCCCCCCCAGAAGAGATGCCTGGAAGAAATTCTGGCCAAAATGTCGTGGACCCAAAACCGAGAGACATCGGAAGGTGTGGTTGCATCCCTTTGATTAACAAGAGATCCACAAAAATGATGATGTTGATGATGATGAGAATGATGATAATGATGACGATGATGATGATCGTAGAATGAAAACAATATTTAGTAAAGTAAAATTTGTTACACGATGTTGTAAGAATGGAGAAATAAGTTGTACTGAGAGGCAGTGGCGTAGCGAGGTCGGGTGTCACCCGGTGCGGCACTTAATGGTGTCACCCCGCAGAACGTAGCGACCCTCCCTTCCCAGCGCCCGGGGACAAACTTTCAATTTTAGATTTGCACCCTCCCCCTCAAACTTTCGATTTGCACCCTCCTCCAACTTTCGATTTGCACCCCCCTCAAACTTTCGATTTGCACCCCCCCTCTCTCCACCCTTGTCGGGATTTGTCAAATTTGCTCTTAAAAGACTTTTTAACACTCCAATTAATCACTTAATTAAGTGGAATTATCATTTTTCTCCATATATTTTGCTATTTTTTGGCCTTGTTGTCATCCCCCCCCCCCCTAAATGGTGTCACCCGGTGCGGTCCGCACCCCCACCTTCCCCTCGCTATGCCACTGCTGAGAGGAGTTTCTCTGCTCTGCAACATAAAATTAACACACACAATTATTGATAAGGTTATAATTATACTTTGTACATTTTCTAATTTTTTAAATGTACATCTGCATATGTTGTTATAGTTTGTTATAATACAGTGTATTTTATAATCAATAATTTAGGGAAACAGCTTCACACACAACATTCAATTTTTCATCAGCTTATCTAGGGATAAGTAATGCGGGTTAATAAAGAAAGAATTTGCGTATGACCTTTTGCTGAACTTGTCCATATGGTCCCTGTAGAGCTGAGATATGCTCTGAAATATATAGCGACGTGGCAGATATAAAGCCAATGAATTACTTCTTTTTCTAACTATATTAATTATTGTCAATTTTGCAGTGTTTACATTGTATGTTAAAACTTTGTTTTTTTTCTTCCAAATTTATCTCACGTTGTTAGATTTATTTACCTTAGATGCAAGCATTGCCTAAAATAATATATCTACACATGTAAAACGTCCATGAGTCTACCCAGCTCTGAAAGTAAAAATTTGGGAAAGTAAATGCGGCTGGTCATAGTGCTGACCACACTATCTCTTTATGTGCCGAATCACAGAAACAGGTGAACTCTACTTCACTAGCCCCATACACCGTCATGTTTGGAAGGGAAACATTTCTTACTTAACTTACACATGCAGAGGTGAAACTATTATGACGCCATCGAGAGATTGAAAAAGGTGTGGGTGTTGTCGTTTAGCATGCCCTAAAAGTTCGGTCTTAAAATCCAATGTACATAGTGCCATATTTTAGAAGGAGGACTGTAGAGGAAGCACCATGGGTTGCCGAGCTTACATGGTCACATATAAAGAGAGCTGCCCGAAAACTGAGTCCGGTGGAGTGGTGTGGCTGCAGCATTTTGCTACCCAGGGGCCAGAAAGGAGTAATAATATGAGGGAATGGTAGTGTGTTCGTCTGCTGATCCGGAAGTCTCGAGTTCAGATCCATGGCTAGAGACGTAGCACTTTCCAAAGTCCACCCAATTCTGATAGGTACCCTTGGTAAGGGAAGTAAAGTTAGCTGGGCATAGTGCAGACTACACTATCCCTTTTTATGTCGATGCCACAGAAACAGTTGAACTCTACCTTACCTGCAGGTTCAAAAAGGGTAGTTGACTTTCTTACTTTATAGATTTGGAAGCAGATGGAAAAAAATCATCAGAAAGACCAATACCAACGGTGTTTATTTAATACGATTTGTTTTTAAAATGCCGCTTTGTTAATTAGGGGAAAGATCTGCTTAAAACATTATTCGTATTCCAGTGTTATGCCTAGCTGTACAGTGTGGTCGATTTGAAGAGTGTACGATTGTAAACCCGAAAGTCCCGAGTTCCACCATTAGGCTCGTCAGGATGGGACAAAACCTATCTAGTTGAGGAAAAACCCAAAAGTAAAACTACTGCCTTGCAGATTGTATTTGATTGTATTTGATTGAACCAAGGCTATGGAACAAACTCCAGAAAGAAAAGTCCAATGAAGTCGTAGCCAACGATCCATTTGGCACATAACACAGTGATACAGCTATTGGGCCTTTTCTGCCCGTGGTCCGAACTCAGGACTATCGATGTTAGCAACCAATCATTCTTCTTCCCGACCACGCCGTCCCCCTTGTTTTCAAACTGGCTAACTAACTGGCGAGAAATAATTAAAATATTTAATCTTCCAGACTTAACCATACAGGTAATCATACATGAAAAAAGGATTATAATTATAATGCAAAAGACAACACCTGTTACATACTAACCGTCGTATATCCGATGAACGCAATTGAACACATAAGTATATCACGTAAACCTTTACTACCATACATAACACTCAGCATATTAAAAAATCTTGATTAAAAACAGAACATAATTTATTGATCGTCTGAGTGGGCTACAATTAGTCATGGTGGACCACTGGACCACTGGTGGACCACTGGACCACTCGTGGACCACGGGACATATAAATCAAAGCACCGTTTTAATTCTCCACCGAATGGGATTGGAGTCCCATCAGAACAGATGCACTTATTTTCAAATTACTAGTTATACCAAAGATGTTTTTTTTTTTAGGAATACGACTTGAATTTATCAAGCAACATTTGACAGTAGTTGTTCCCTTCCATACCTGTAGGAAACATTTGATAAATCGCTGACTCCTTACCCCCACCACACAACCTTAAGAAACATTTGACAGGAGTTTTCCCCCTTTCTCCTAGCACCGACGGTAACATTTAATATTTTTCTAATAACTTTGCTGTGATGTACGTTTTTTTTTATCAGTGAATTTTTATTTTTGACCTCATTTTATTTATTTTGTCCTATTTGTCTTGCAGTGTGTTTTACAAGCTTTTAATTAACTCACCAAGTCAGTTTGTTTGTGGTGTTGTGGTAAATCTTGTAATCCAACTTTGACGGAGTTCTAATGCAGCAATTTCGTTTAAACTTTCTATATAAAATCTTCTTTGCTGACAAGCCAAGAATATCTAATTGTTATGTTATTGAATAGACAATTTAATTTAAAAACTACTATATTCAAAAATAATAATGGAAAGAACAATATAAAAATACTAGCAATCACGTGACTATGGGCCGTCAAGGGTGAACTGTTTGTCACGGTTGGCTGAGTTATTCCCTGATCGCCGACCATGAGCGAAGTAGGGTCAGATAAATGACCTTCAGATACCGCAAACCACTGGTCGGGTCTTAACGCAAATATTTTTACTTTCTCGTAAATACTAAGTACTAAGTACTAATAATATTGCGCACTATTATGAACATTTTGTTTTGGCGTTCGCTTGGTGCGCTATTCTTTTTTCTATGAGATTCTATTCTATTTTTAAAAGTTTAAGTAATTAAAAATCATGTCTATATTCCAAGTTATATAAGAATATTCGAGAAAGTTTAGGGGAGTTTATTCGTCTTAGCTGTAGTAGCAACAATTGTTTCGAATGACGAAGCAATGGAAACAAAAAACAAAGATAAAAAGCTTTATACTAACATTGAAAATAGGAAAATGATTATCGGGTATTTGGTTCCTTTAATAAAAGCTGGCGTAGCTCATGGGATCTTTTACATATTTTAGTTTTAGAGATATAATGTAAAAGTTTTAAATTAAATAAAGCAAATTCGTTTTATTTTCAAATTTTCAGTGCATTTAAAAAATGAAAATTATTAAGTTTTTTTAAATTATTTTTTTTTCTTAAATTAAACTAGGGTGCAGTTTGTGTACAATTTGAAGTTTTGACATTATATTATTCTGAAATATTGATCAGTGCTGTTAAAACGAGACCGAAGATAATTATTAGTCTGAGGAATTAAGTCCTATATATCATGTATATTCTCATAAGACATTTTTACCACATCTTTAATAGTTTACCAGACCGAAGATAATTATTAGTCTGAGGAATTAAGTCCTATATATCATGTATATTCTCATAAGACATTTTTACCACATCTTTAATAGTTTACCTGTTCAGCTGCAATTTACATACTTATACAGGTCTGTGTTCATCCATGTAATTAGAGCAAATCCTTGTTTTTGACTTTATTATCAGCATGTAAGATTTCTGCCCGATTTTCGTCGAGAATGTATTTATTTGAAAATAAAGATTTATCGTTGAATTGTACGCATATATCAAGACATCGAGGTTATTTTCTTTTTTTTTTTTACATAATCTGTATCAACTTTTCAGCAATTTCCGGTAACCGAAAGTGGAAATTATTCTACTTTTGGATTTTCAAAAGCCCATATTTTGAGTACTGTTTAAGGTAGATAAAAATTGGTAAAATATCTAATTTTCTGCCTTCTTTCAAATGAGTAATTTCCTTTTGACCGGAAGTAGTACTTTACGCTATTTCCGATTTTTCAAAAAGCGCAAGTGAATTTATAAGGTACTAGTGTTCCACACTATTATAAACATGTTGTTTGCCGTTCACTTTGTGCGCAATTCTTTTTCTAACTCGATAATATCAAAATTATACAAAAGTAGAATTTTACAAGACACGCCACACTAACACAGCTTACTTGCTTGAAAATACAAAACAATGTGCAGATTTTAAAAACTTTTTTTTAATCATAGAACAAAACAATCAGCACACATTTTCAATTCCTATGATAATTACTTGACAATTTACATGTACTTTAACATTTTATTTATTCACAAACTTTATTTTTTATTTCTGTAAAAAAAAAAATCAACAACTTCAAATAGTAGGCCCTATTTATTTTTTCCGGTGCTTTTTTTTAAAAACATGCGCCAATAAAAATTCTGCCAAAACCTCTGAGATTACAGATTAAAGTCTTCTATTGGTATCTGCAGGGTTTTCGTTTCATTATGTAAGCGTGAAAGGTATCTGGCCATGTAAGACTCCTGTGTAACAGAAAAAATGTTTGTTAATTGTAGATTCAATTATTATGAAGTTTTTTGCTAAAAATATATTTAGTATATTGTTTTAAACTAAACGAGGGTAGTAAAAAAAATTAAATTCCAAAACACTTAAAATTTATAACGGTTCTTAGCAACACTTGAATAATTATCCCTTAAGCGCACCGCGTTGCATATATGCAACACTCAAATATACAGAAAATTAAAGAACATAAAGCATGGAGTTCTAGATATTACCATCCGTCCACATGCCTAGCATAACTTCATGTTAATATGAGACAAACTATACACTATGTAGTTAATTTAAGACATGCATACTATAAAAAAAATCACGCATGCACTAAAGGGTTAGAATCAACTTTATGTTAAAAGTTAAGTGAAAATCAAGTTATTACGACAGTGGCGTTTTATTTGCTTTGAACACAACTCCATCGGGCAGATGTAAAGAAAATCCGGTGCAACTGAATTCGGCTTTTAGATGAGGCGGGGCCTAGTGAAAAAACAGACTTATTATAGCAGTAAGTACAAATAAATATCATATATATATATATATAACTCTCTTCTTGGAGACAATAGAAAACACCAAGCTGTAAGCGCGCTCCCTAACACCCCCACCCCTACATTGTCTGGTGAGCTGTGGTTAACGCTAAATGTTTACAATCGTAGAGCCGGGTTTAGTGACGTCTAATAGGGGCAGATAATTTAGTATGAAACGATTTTAAACTTAGGGGAGGTAACTAAGAGGAGTTTACTTTCACGGGGGGTGGGGGTGGGGTTGGGGAAAGGAAGGGGGGGGGGGGGTTCGTCCTTAACAGCTACTGACAGTGTTTTATAGCAAATATTTTCAGTGGCAGCGTTGGTACTGTCGAATCCACAAATTATGAATTACTGAAAAGTAGAAAATAAAACAACTAAATAGCGGCGTATGAAATGCCGCGGGTCGGCTCGTTATTATATCATTAAAGAGTATCATTGATGCAAATATATATATATATATATATATATATATATATATATATATATATATATATATATATATATATATATATATATATATATATATATATATATATATATATATTTATCTTTCCATTATTGCGGTTATTGGGAATAGAAACGGCGGTGTTGAGTGACAAAAATGTTAAAGTTAAGTGAGGTAAATAAAAAGATTCATAATCATTTTACCGGACTTTTTGTTATTGTGCACCCCGGCCATGAGCCTCTGAATATATCGTCAAAGTGATCTTTCCGAGAGAATATACGAGTGCACTCAGGTTCGTGATTAAGCGAACTTGCTACCAGTGTGTCTTTGAAATATCGCTCCAGTTGTGTACGGCTGGTTGGGCTTTTTTAAAAACATTTATAAATATATATATATACATACATACATACATACATACATACATACATACATACATACATACATACATACATACATACATACATACATACATACATACATACATACATACATACATACATACATACATACATACATACATACATACATACATACATACATACATACATACATACATACATACATACATACATACATACATACATACATACATACATACATACATACATACATACATACATACATACATACATACATACATACATACATACATACATACATACATACATACATACATACATACATACATACATACATACATACATACATACATACATACATACATACATACATACATACATACATACATACATACATACATACATACATACATACATACATACATACATACATACATACATACATACATACATACATACATACATACATACATACATACATACATACATACATACATACATACATACATACATACATACATACATACATACATACATACATACATACATACATACATACATACATACATACATACATACATACATACATACATACATACATACATACATACATACATACATACATACATACATACATACATACATACATACATACATACATACATACATACATACATACATACATACATACATACATACATACATACATACATACATACATACATACATACATACATACATACATACATACATACATACATACATACATACATACATACATACATACATACATACATACATACATACATACATACATACATACATACATACATACATACATACATACATACATACATACATACATACATACATACATACATACATACATACATACATACATACATACATACATACATACATACATACATACATACATACATACATACATACATACATACATACATACATACATACATACATACATACATACATACATACATACATACATACATACATACATACATACATACATACATACATACATACATACATACATACATACATACATACATACATACATACATACATACATACATACATACATACATACATACATACATACATACATACATACATACATACATACATACATACATACATACATACATACATACATACATACATACATACATACATACATACATACATACATACATACATACATACATACATACATACATACATACATACATACATACATACATACATACATACATACATACATACATACATACATACATACATACATACATACATACATACATACATACATACATACATACATACATACATACATACATACATACATACATACATACATACATACATACATACATACATACATACATACATACATACATACATACATACATACATACATACATACATACATACATACATACATACATACATACATACATACATACATACATACATACATACATACATACATACATACATACATACATACATACATACATACATACATACATACATACATACATACATACATACATACATACATACATACATACATACATACATACATACATACATACATACATACATACATACATACATACATACATACATACATACATACATACATACATACATACATACATACATACATACATACATACATACATACATACATACATACATACATACATACATACATACATACATACATACATACATACACACATACATACATACACACATACACACATACACACATACATACACACATACATACATACACACATACACACATACACACATACACACATACACACATACACACATACACACATACACACATACACACATACACACATACACACATACACACATACACACATACACACATACACACATACACACATACACACATACACACATACACACATACACACACATACACACATACACACATACACACACATACACACATACACACGTACACACATACACACATACACACATACATACATACATGCACTTATACACATGTACACACGTACACACATACATACATACATACACACATACACACGTACACACGTACACACGTACACACGTACACACGTACACACGTACACACGTACACACGTACACGTACACACGTACACACGTACACACGTACTCACGTACGCGCGTAAACATGTACACACGTACATACATACATACGCACATACGGACTTACGCACATAAGCACATACGCATATACGCAGATACGTACATACGTACATACTCACATACACACATACGTACATACGCACATACGTACATACGCACATACGTATATACGTACATACGCACATACGTACACACGCACATACGCAGATACGTACATACGTAAATACTTTTATGGGAGATCACTCCCGGTTTATTTTTTATTTAATTCCTGTTCACCGGCTATTATGAGACTTACAAATTTGTAGCTGTAATGTTGTACACATTCGCGTAGATTCTTCCTAACCATGAACTGAGGCCAATTAACGTTTTTCGAACTCGAGTCCCATGTAGATATTCATCAAAAAACAGCACGATACTCTAATTTATCACAAGCATTTACAAATGTAAGTATGTATATGTAAGGATATATATATATATATATATATATATATATATATATATATATATATATATATATATATATATATATATATATATATATATATATAAATATGTGTGTGTGTGTGTGTATATTTTATTATTTATTTTTGTGTGTGTGTATATATATATATATATACATATATATTTATATTTATATATATATATATATATATATATATATATATATATATATATATATATATATATATATATATATATATATATATATATATATATATATATATATATACATTCATGAAAATAAATTTGTGAGTGGTACATCTCACAATTTCTAGCATTTAGCTTGTGACAGTCTGACGTTTGATAGACTGTCGTTGACTCCACAATGTAAGGTTACAGTTGTGGTGCTAGAGTCACGTGATCGGCTACTAATAACGTCCCTAAAATTTTCAAAATTTGCCCCAGGCAGCGCTATTACCGATACACGCTCGTAATGATCCGTGGCCATTATATCAGGATGGAGACATTTAAGTGTAGAGTCACCAAGGATCAAATGGTGTTTCGTTGTTTGGTTGGTGTAGGGGGCGGCGGCATGTTGTGTGCTATCTCTATTAGTGCCGTAGTGAGTAGAGCGTTTGACAACTGGTGCTAGGACAGCCTTGACCGTTGGGGCGCTGTATTGTGTAGAATCACTTTTAGTGCGTGGTCGTTGCAGGGTGCTGGGAGTCGAATGTTCCGATGGTTTGGATAAACGCACTCTGTCTTCACGTTGTGTTATTTTGACAGGGATTGGGAACGGAGCTTCTTGCAGTATGCTTCATTTATTAGTGGTTGATTATCCTCATATGTTGAGGTGGATATTGTGCTGCAAGAGGGTTTCTTGGTTGTGAGGTGTTTCTTTAGTGACTCAGAATTATTTTCTTGATCAATCAAACGCTTCTTAAGGTTGACGTGTATATCTTTGTAGCTATGCACTTCATTAGATAGTCTCTTGACTTCGTCCCTTAAGAAAGCGTTTTCGACTCGGAGTTGTTCTAGTTGGCTGTTAAACTGCAATTTCTCCGCTTTAAAAGATTTTTTAACACAGGTGATCTCATTCAGAATAAACGATCTGAAGTTATTTTCCAGTTGTGTGGTTTGATGAAATGATATTTTTGGACTATGCAAATCAGTTGGTTGAGATAGGTTTTAAGAAAATGTATAGTTTTTTATAGGTGTTACACAATCTAACGAATTGGTATTGATCGTAACCTCTGCACATTGATTGACACTGTTGGAAGCGGGCATAATCATGGGCGGTGAAATGGGTAGCTCCAATACATGGGTGGGGACAGTGAAGGTGGTGGTGACAGTGACAGTGGCGGCGACATGGGTAGAGGCATGTCAATAGCTTTGTCTGTTATAATGAGGATATTTAAAATACTGCAAAATTCCGTATCCACCCAAACAGACAAAACGTTAGATTTTCCATGTACCATAATCTTGTTATTCGTGTGTTATAGATGGATAGACAGCCCTGGTAATTTATAACATTGGCGCCATCTTCATCTCTTCTTTCCTCAACAACATCAGCATATTTTGTTTTGATCATTTTTTTTATAGCTAATTGAGTTTTTAAAAGCAATAATAACGCATTGCCCTCCATCTTTCTTTTGAATATGAATATCATCTGCTGCATAAATGTTAACAATCTTTTTTGATATAGCTTTTTCTTTATTTGAACAATACTTCTTAGCCCTGCTGCTCCTGGTGACAACACCAGTCCCTAACATTTTCACCTACCAGTAAAATTAAAATATCATGCTGACATCAGTAGAAATAGATTAAATTGAAAACGAATCATCAGTAGATCTACAACAACTAAGAACATAGATATCCGGTTTACATTTTAACAATGGATGAGACAATAAAATCAAAACATAAGATATCACAATAAGAACCGGCTAGTAAATTGGTACTAAACAACATACTCTACCCCAGGGGTCGGCAACCTTTTGAAGCAGAAGAGCCAAAAGTTACAATTTTCAAAATTTCTCTGTTTTTAAAGAGCCACTAACATTTGTTTTATTTCAAATATTTTATTTTTTTATTAAGAGCCGCATCTTGATATCAAAAGAGCCGCATGCGGCTCGCGAGCCGCAGGTTGCCGACCCCTGCTCTACCCTATTGGATGAGTATTACTTCCCTTAGATTATTTTAGATTTAAAAGTGAATAAAAACACTAAAAACTATGAAAGAAAGTTGACTAAAATTCCTGAAGTTAACAAGCCGACGCCATTTTTTAATAGATCTCCATTAATTCTCCATAGAGAAAAATCACACCTCCCGAGGCGCCGCCATTGCGAAATTAAAAAAGTTTTTTTTTTAACAGAAACCTCACCTGGAGTGTTATAATCAACTCCCCAAAGTTTGATGGCGATCGGACGAACTGGGTGAAACCGCATTCGACTTTTATTTTTATATACCGTATACAGAGAAAAAACAAATCGCGCCCTGTTGGGGCGCCACCCCTGCGAATTCGATTTTTTTTTCACAGAAACCTCCCAAGGAATATTCTCAACAACATCCCAAAGTTTCACGGCGATGTGATGAGAGGTGTAGTAATACATTAATGCATAAAAGACAAACAAACATACATTTCTTTTAATATATATAGATTGCTTTATATATATATATATATATATATATATATATATATATATATATATATATATATGTATATATATATATATATATATATATATATGTATGTATATATATATATAAGCACGCATAATGTATATATATATATATATATATATATATATATATATATATATATATATATATATATATATATAGATATATATATATATATATATATATATATATATATATATATATATATATATATATATATATAATTCTAAATACTTTAAATACTTTGCCCGGTTATAATGATTTGAATTTATAATTTGCTGAAAATGAAAATTGATTTTATAATATAATTATGCTTACGCATACACATACATAGACACATACATTTACACATGGAATACACACATACACCCAATTACACTTCAACTAATCAATCAAACATCCTTTGTGTTGTTGAGGGACTAAAGCTGTCTTTCTAAAAAAAAAAATAATTGGCCAACTTTCTTCATCCTCTGCTGCTTAGTGTATACCTGCTACAGGCAGCCCAGTCCAATCTATCATGTCATCCATCCATGGACGTTTTGGCTTATACTTTAGCCAGCGCAGCTGGGTGCGTATAATCATATGCCTCTCGCATACTCATTTTCATTCGCTAAAGGGCATGCTTGCATGTGTATTTTATTATTTATGCTTTCAAATTTTGAACATAATTTTAGAAACAAGCAAGAAATGCCTCACTCACTGACCGTGTTCAGAGTGTTAACTCGCCCGAGCTTCACAGGACTAAGTATACCGGTGAAGTGTATGTGCGTGTTTGAATAGTTTCCGACAAGTATTTCGATAAAGTTGGAAAAAGCTTGTCCGTCATGGCTGTTACATTGGCTTAATGAAGCTTCTAGAACTAAAGTGGATAGAAAATTGTTTAGTAAGTCTTTATAATATTAGATTTATTACAATTAATTATGAAAAATAATTACAGTATTAAAATCCTATTATTTGAAAAAAAAAATATGTAGAAAAACATGTAATATTGCATTTATACATGAAAAAAGCAAACAAATCAGATTTTTAAAGAGGAAATACGTTTTCTAAGCATCTATTCTTAGACTAGCAGAACAAAAGGGAAAAAAAGTGAGCTCCCATGAATGTGTCAATAAATTCGAATTTAATTGCAATGGTTCGGTCGCACTTTTCTTAAAAAGTGTACGTTAATTGTGACAAAAACAAGTTATTTTACAATTTCGAGATGGTTCAAAAGTTGACACACCTAACTCATTTTGAAACATGATATGTGTGTCAAGACTTAAAATGAAATTTAATATTAAATTACTTTAAGAAAAACGGGATTAAACTCCCCTAAAAATCCTGATAAATTGCTATAAAAAGAGGGGGTGATGGCCCTTCAATTTCACTCGGTTAAAGAAATATAGAAGTTTGTGAGAAAATTGCAGCTTGCTTTTTTAAGGAGACACGCAGAGGCGAAATAAATTAAGAATAAATTTAAGTTTTATCTGAATATTCCATAACGTTATCAAACTCTAAAAGTTTTTGAGAAACCAGAAATAAAGAACCACTACTTTTACCGAAAGCGCTCAAAAGTACGTCAATCCGAAACGGAACTTTACTTCCGGTTAACGGAAATTTCTCAAAAGTTGATAGAAAACAATTGTATATAACACATATATGACAATTTTACAACCAGAGTGAAACGGTACTCAAGTTGTCGAGTTTAATTAAGTACATTAGATTGATCAAAATCTCGATATTTTTTGTTTTTACAATCACACCACTTCCCCAAAACTCTATACGCAAGAAAGTAAACAGCAGTAGAAAATACTTACATTCCGTTCCAAAACCAAGGACTAGTGTTAGACAAATCAGTGCGGTCTTCATGATCACTTTTCAATAGATCAGAAACAATTGATAAAAGAAGATACACTTTTATTAAAGAAACTTTTAATAAAGAAACTTTTATTAAAGAAACTTTTATTAAAGAAACTTTTATTAAAGAAACTTTTATTAAAGAAACTTTTATTAAAGAAACTTTTATCAAAGAAACGTTTATTAAAGAAACTTTTATTAAAGAAACTTTTATTAAAGAAACTTTTATTAAAGAAACTTTTATTAAAGAAACTTTCATTAAAGAAACTTTTATTAAAGAAACTTTTATTAAAGAAACTTTTATTAAAGAAACTTTTATTAAAGAAACTTTTATTAAAGAAACTTTTATTAGAGAAGCTTTTATTAAAGAAACTTTTATTAAAGAAACTTTTATCAAAGAAACGTTTATTAAAGAAACTTTTATTAAAGAAACTTTTATTAAAGAAACTTTTATTAAAGAAACTTTTATTAAAGAAACTTTTATTAAAGAAACTTTTATTAAAGAAACTTTCATTAAAGAAACTTTTATTAAAGAAACTTTTATTAAAGAAACTTTTATTAAAGAAACTTTTATTAAAGAAACTTTTATTAAAGAAACTTTTATTAGAGAAGCTTTTATTAAAGAAACTTTTATTAAAGAAACTTTTATTAGAGAAACTTTTATTAAAGAAACTTTTATTAAAGAAACTTTTATTAAAGAAAATTTTATTAAAAAAACTTTTATTAAAGAAACTTTTATCAAAGAACCTTTTATTAAAGAAACTTTTATTAAAGGAACTTTTATTTAAGAACTTTTATTAAAGAAAATTTTATTAAAGAATGGAAACTTTTAGTAAAGAAACTTTTATGAAACAAGAAAGATAAAAACTACAAAATGCATAAAAAATAAATAAGATATTTAAGTGTAGTGTACAATACCGTCATTTACTAAACTCTGGCTTATCTGCGTTTTAATGTATTAAATGTTTGGTTCTGTATTAAGTGTTGTTTTAATGTGTACTGTATTTTACTGCACAGTAATGCAGATAAGTTAAATTGAACTATAATTTTCTGGATGAAAGGGGTAGGCTCTGGATTTTTTTTTATTATGAATAATTTTCTTTGCAATTTAAAACAAGTACATCAACATAACATTCTTTACATAATATTATATATAATCTTGAGCAGCTTACTTAATAAATAATGGTCACAAACATTACCATGCTCATCTAAATCCTCAGTTTAAGTGCCTAACATCACGGTTAAAATCATAATGTCTGTTGCAAAATCTCAACAGTTTCTTTTAAAAATTCGTAATTTTATCTTCTTATAAACGTATTTAAAATGTGCAAGCTAACTAATGACAATATGCTTTGACAGTAATTAAAAAAAAAACACCCACTTTAATAAATAAATAAATGAATAAGTAAATAAATATAAATCTCTCTCTCTCTCTCTCTCTCTCTATATATATATATATATATATATATATATATATATATATATGTATTATATATACATATATATATATATATATATATATATATATATATATATATATATATATATATATATATATATAAATTATATATATATAATTTTTTTTTTTTTTTATTTATTTATTTTTTATTTATTTTTTTCTTTTTTTTAATATATATTTATATTAAATATATATATATATATATATATATATATATATATATATATATATATATATATATATATATATATATATATTTTTTTTTTTTGCCTCAGACATGTAATTTACAGCGTCAGTTGTGTGTGTTCGCTTTAGTATTACAGTTTTCATCACCGGCTTGTGAGGACTGACACAGATTTACAATAGTAATATTTCTTTCTTACTTGTAGCCTACTTTCATTCATTTAAGATGGTTTACTTATACATAGATCTAATACAAAACGTCTAAATATAAAGAAAAAATTAAAATTAAAAACCAACCTGAAACTGAAAATGCAAATGTGTAATTAAATGATGATTCAAGGGATTTTTTTTCCATCAGCGTGGTGGGCTGAGGGGACGAGAAGGGGGGGGAGAGGGTTGAATTTTTTTTTTTTTTTTTTTTTTTTTTAAATAGAGCTGAAATGAATTTGGGATTACAGAGAATTAAAATGATACAAATTTTAAGCAATCGGAAAAGTTATGTTATTACAACGAGACACGTAAAAGCAAACACTCTTCCCTTTCAAACATCTATATCTATACAGTCCTCAATTAGTTTTTTTTTTTTTTTTTTTTTTTCTTTTTTTTTTTTATTATTATTAATTCAATTGTTTTAAACCTTTAAATCAGTAATAATAATTTATTTGATAGATTTTACACAGCATCAAAGACATGAACATCAATTGCATATATAATAATCAAATGGAGAAAATTAAATGGCATAAGAACTAGACTAAAATAAGGTGTGCAAACTAGGTTTCTCTTGACTGCTTAGTTTACTGTGCGCTGTCCTTAGCTGAGGAGTCAAAAGTTCACATCGTAGACAGAAATAGAAACCACCGTGGGAGAAGTGTCTCTGTAATACACATTACTGATCTATCATTCCAAAACTTTCCATGACATACAATTGACCCTTGGCAAAGAGGGCACGCTACCTTGAAAAATCCGCCAGTCCGGTTGAGTGGAGGGAAGTGTGTGTGTGGGGGGGGGGGGGGGGGGGGGAGGGTGAGGTGTGTATCTCTTTCTACCATTCAGATTGTGCACTTTTAAAAACCTGGGAAACAGAAGACTGTTCTAATGTTAAATTACTTGGGGGCTGATCGAGTGATGTTTTGCTTGAGACTGTCGATATTAATTATGCATCTAGTTTATTTGCTTCTTCTGTAGTTCCAATTTTCGTTTCCTGTAAAAGTAGGATGTCAATATTGTGTTTATTTATTATGTTGTTTATATAATGTGTTTTGTCCCTAGCCCCCCTGATGTTCAATGTTGCCAGAGTTAGCATGAATTATTTGAGGTTTTCTTTCGAACATCTGTTTCTGGAGGGCTGGATGGTGGTGGTCTTTTAATTCCAAACCTTCCAGCCGTTGGTTTGCTATCCCGTTGGGCCCTGGTCACGAACCTTTGAGGTGGCTTTACTATAGGTAATTGATTTTTACTTGAACTGATTGCTTGACTATATGACAGTTGACCTGATACCTTTGTTGCTGACATACTTTGTGAGCTTTTAATTTCCTTTAGCGGTTTCGTTATGTTTTCTGAACTAGAGTTATCTTGAAGAATATTAGTTATTGTTTCGTCGACAGCCTCCAAATTTTCGTGATTCCCATCTTTTTGAGACCCGGTTACTATGGAATTCCTGGTTGCTATTGTCTCCATGGCTTCGGCCTCTATGGTGGTTTCTGTTACGCTTTCGTTAACTTGCTGCCGTGCTACAGTAGTATGATGTGCTTCAGTTTGGCCATCTACTTCAAAGGCATCTTGTACCTCTCTGTGCCTTGCTTCTCTAAGCATTTCATTTTGTCTTTCTCCGTCAACATCATAACTGTCCCAATGCTTTAAGAAATTTCTATTGTTACTTAGATGCTCCCTAACTTCTTCTTTATCATTTGCATCCCAAGGCTCAATTGCCCTGTACTGTCCATCTACTAGCTGGACGCCGTCAAGAGCGCGAGTCCTCAAATGCTCACACATTTTAGGCAGGTGCCTGTCTGTGTTGCAGTGGCAACATTGCATCCTCCTCCCATTGAGGATTATAAGGACTCTGCTCTCCTTGTTGGCCTCATTTGTAAGTATAATATAGTGTGGGACACTCTCCACATCTTCTGCTCTCCTTGTTGGCCTCATTTGTAAGTATAATATAGTGTGGGACACTCTCCACATCTTCTTTCTCCAGAGAGATGGTGAATTGGACCACATTTGATTGGTCTATTCTCTTAAATGTTGGTTTTGAGTCCTGACTGCTTATAGATTTCAGAATCGTCATTATATCATCGTCACTTGTCTTGGAAGGCAGCCATTTCAGCATGCCCCTTTGCCCAGATTTATCGGCGTGGGTTATTGATATTCTCTGCACTCTGTATCTGGATGTTACTCCAGGTGGCAAATCTCTGTGAAATTCTTTTAGGTGCATTTTCTCATATAGTTCCTTTGATCTAATGGTGACATACCATTTACGCAGTGTCCCATAGTTATACAGACCTTCAAATTCAGCTGGTGATAGGCTACATAACATACATAGCATTCTTTTTAGTTCGTCAGCTGTGAGAGTAGCTAAAGAAAAACCCTCTTCTATGAAAATCTCTAGAGTTTTTGGCGCATGTCCTGCCATGCCGAACTTAGGCAGGAATAGCCGTTTGATGTATTTTTCCGACATAGTTGTGCGTGAGGCCCACCCGGGGCCAGGCAACACACACACGAAATAAAAAAGAAAAAAGTACTTACAATGTATAAAATGTGAAGAAAAAAAAATAACACACACACAATGTTCCAAATGGAAATACACACGAGTTTAAATAAGTAGAGATGAAATTAATCCAAAGTCACTGATTATATAATCTTTAGAAAATAGGTAAATTCTTCAACATCCAAGTTCGTGATAGATTTATATTTTCATAGCCTACCGGAAATTGTGAATACCCTTCAATGAAAGTTTGTGATTAAGCTCAAATGAAAAGAGGACATGACCAGGCATATTAAGGAACCATATATATATATATATATATATTTTAAGTTTCCTGAAGAACAAGATGGGTTTTTAAGTTAAAATGTAAATTAGAACATTGCTATATATATATATTTAAAGTTAAATTCTGTATGTGCAGGAGGACGGATTTCGGGTGGACAGCGGATTCCAAAGATATATATTAAAAAATTAAAGATTTCATTGTCATAGTGTTATACATCTAAAGTGCTTATCGTCTAAATTAATGATTTAAACATTAATATTGAAGGTGTTGCAAAACAATTTTCATTTTTCAAACTTAAAATGATAATTGTCGGCACGTCCATCAAACACAATTTAAAAAATGTATCACCTTTCACAAAATTTTTAATTCTATCTGAAAATTATTTCTATTTAGTTCTTTAGCACTCATTACGTCCCTTGATAAATTAGGGAAACACAATTACTTCCCTTTACAAAAAAATTACATCGAGAAGGAAAATGTATTTTTATTACTTTGTTTTGGTGTTGGGAAAAAATTACATTATTAATTGTTATATATTATGCAATGATGTAGGTATTTTAAATACTGTCTTTTATTTATTTTATACACTGAACGTACGGTTTACTAATTATTTTAAAAAAATCAAGAACAGTTAAGAAGCCAGCTCCTAAATGTTCTCTATGTTTAACTAGCCATCTGTACCGTTTCACGTGAATTATAGGCCTATATATTTTAAAATGTTGTACATGTTTGAGAAAAATAATGAATGAAATATTTCATTTCTTTATTTTATTCTAAACTCGGAAGATGACGTCATTAGTTTCGTGCTCTTTCCTTTGTGAAAATATTAAGCGACGTCATTGTTAAATGCGTTCTTGTCCCAAGTTTCCGGTTGCATAATTAAAATTGTTTTTTTACATTCGAATACGCCTTTATTTTTTATTTTTCTTCTTTAAATAAAATGTTGGTTATACATTTAAAATATCTACCAAATTTTTTTCAACAAAATTCCGTATCAAGTTCTCCATATATCGCTAAAGATTATGATGTGATATCCTGCGAAAATATTTTTCGGACAGAGAGAGAGAAGTGCGCACTTTGGCTTTTATATATTAGGATTCTTTCCGTTTGTGGATAAGCTTGGGTTATTACATGGTTCGATTTGGCGCCCTGGACTATCCTGTGAGCGCTATGGTGCATAATTTTGTTTTAAACAGTACGATAGACTATTGATATGAAAGGTTATTCTAGCCTTTAACTGAATCGAATCCGGGCGTCTTCCTGCGTCACGACAGGGAGCTATTTGGCACCCCGGGCCTTCCCGTGTTAGCTATGGCGCCTACGTTCGTTTAAGTGAATGCAAAAGACTATAAATATGTTAGGGTACTATAGTCATTTATTCAGTTGAATCAGGCGGTTTTTGCGGCGCCACATTATGGTGCAGTTTGGCGCCCCGGGCTAGACTGTCAACATTTTGCGTTTATGTTTGCGTTTGTGTTTTCTTTTGTGTTTGTGTTGGGTTTGCGTTTGTGGTTGGGTTTGTATTTGTGTTTTCGTTTGTGGTTTGTATTTGTATTTTTATTTGTATTGCTTTTATATTAAGTTTTTTGTGTTTTGGTTTTGGTTGGTTGTGGTTAGGGTGGGCAAGACCGAGTATATGCTCATAACTAAACACACAAGTCATGGTCCAGTGCTGGGCCTGGCCGGGACGGCTAGTGTATTTATAATATATATATATATATATATATATATATATATTATATATATATATATATATATATATATACATGTACATATTTTAGGTAGATAAATAAAAACAAACTCACAGTGTTGAATCAGTAAAGTTTTCAGATAAACTCTGCTTAACGTTGGTGAATGTTCTGCTATGAATCAACACATTGTCTACCCAACCATCGAGGAGCTGCCCTTAACGACTGCGTACCACGCCCACAAGATGAGCAGCGAAGATAGACTGTGCAGCTATCCAATGGCATGGAATCATTTACAAAATTAGATTCAGAATACAGCTTGCCTTAGGCCGCGGATTGCGATTGTAGCTTCATCGTTCGACATTTACAGTGTCGCTACATATCACGTATTCTTTCCGTTAGCACCCAGTGCCCGCCCATCCCTAGGGCCCCACCCACTTACATGAACGTATTCAATTCACTCTCGTTCACCTCCCGTCTTCATCCTCTCTCTGTTCCAAGGTGGGAATGCATGCACGCGTCATCTTGATGAAAATTAAGAAATTTGCAATGATTATGTAAATCAGTTACCCTTTTCATAGTTGAGAAGTTACACTTCTAACGCCTTGTCGTAAACCTAAACCTAAACCTAAACCTAAACCTAAACCTAAACCTAAACCTAAACCTAAACCTAAACCTAAACCTAAACCTAAACCTAAACCTAAACCTAAACCTAAACCTAAACCTAAACCTAAACCTAAACCTAAACCTAAACCTAAACCTAAACCTAGACCTAAACCTAAACCTAAACCTAAACCTAAACCTAAACCTAAACCTAAACCTAAACCTAAACCTAAACCTAAACCTAAACCTAAACCTAAACCTAAACCTAAACCTAAACCTAAACCTAAACCTAAACCTAAACCTAAACCTAAACCTAAACCTAAACCTAAACCTAAACCTAAACCTAAACCTAAACCTAAACCTAAACCTAAACCTAAACCTAAACCTAAACCTAAACCTAAACCTAAACCTAAACCTAAACCTAAACCTAAACCTAAACCTAAACCTAAACCTAAACCTAAACCTAAACCTAAACCTAAACCTAAACCTAAACCTAAACCTAAACCTAAACCTAAACCTAAACCTAAACCTAAACCTAAGCATAAGCCTAAACCTAAGCCTAAGCCTAAACCTAAACCTAAACCTAATCCTTCACCTACACCTACACCTACACCTACACCTACACCTACACCTACACCTACACCTACACCTACACCTACACCTACACCTACACCTACACCTACACCTACACCTACACCTACACCTACACCTACACCTACACCTACACCTACACCTACACCTACACCTACACCTACACCTACACCTACACCTACACCTACACCTACACCTACACCTACACCTACACCTACACCTACACCTACACCTACACCTACACCTACACCTACACCTACACCTACACCTACACCTACACCTACACCTACACCTACACCTACACCTACACCTACACCTACACCTACACCTACACCTACACCTACACCTACACCTACACCTACACCTACACCTACACCTACACCTACACCTACACCTACACCTACACCTACGCCTGAACCTGAACCTGAACCTGAAAATGAACCAAAACCAAAACCAAAACCCTAACCCTAAACCTAAACCTTAACCTAAACCTAAACCTAATTCTGAATTTGACGATAAACCTGACCCCAAACTTAATATTAACAAACACCATTTTAATTATACATGTTTGCTTATGCCGGTTTAAGCCCTTTTAAGACTACAACGGATCCAAAGACTGTAATATTAGAGTAGAACAAAATTAAATATTCCAATACTTGTTAGTGTAGACCTGTATTATTCGCGGCTTATCGTTATGTTGAATAATTTTAGAAAAACATAATCCCCAGCAATATTATCTCTCTAAATTAACTTAGTTGAAAATGTCATTCATGTTATTACTCTAGCGGGTATTTTTTTGGACATTATTTTTCTGCCTACTTTTAATTTAGAATTGGAATATCTGAGACTAACTCCACAGGATAATAATGTACACAATTGTTTCATTGTGAATTAACTCTATGGTTGTGTACATGTGATGATAGATCTGTCAAGAGATAAGTTTACCTGTATGAAATACCTACGTGGCAAACACTATTTTTACTTAGAGCCCACACCCCACACACGTGTCGGCCTCACCAAACATTGATCTCCCTCCCTAAACACGGACAAGCCTCCCCAAACAATGACCTCCCCAAAAATGACCTCCCCCACTCCAAACACTGACCTCCCTCCCCGAACAATGACCTCCATCCTCCCCAAACACTGACCCGCCTCCCCAAACAATGGCGTCCCCCTCTCCACATACTGACCCACATACTGACCCACATACTGACCCACATACTGACCCACACTGACCTCCCTACCCAAACACTGACCCCCCTCCCCAAACACTGACCCCCCTCCCTACACACTGACCTCCCTTCCCAAACACTGACCCCCCCCCCCCTCCCTACTCACTGACCTCCCTCCCCAAACACTGACCCCCCCTCCCCAAACACTGACCCCCCCTCCCTACACACTGACCTCCCTTCCCAAACACTGACCCCCCCCCCCTCCCTACACACTGACCTCCCTCCCCAAACACTGACCCCCCCCTCCCTACACACTGACCTCCCTTCCCAAACACTGACCCCCCCCCCCTCCCTACTCACTGACCTCCCTACCCAAACACTGACCCCCCCTCCCTACTCACTGACCTCCCTCCCCAAACACTGACCTCCCTACTCAAACACTGACCCGCCTCCCAACACACTGACCTCCCTCCCCAAACACTGACCCGCCTCCCTACACACTGACCTCCCTCCCCAAACACGCCTCCAAAATACTGAGGTCCCATCCTCTATATTTATGTGATATAGCTATAGGGGACGATGTGGTCGGATTGTAGAGTATTCGGCTGCTAAACCTCGAGTTCGAATCTTCATGTCAGGTCATGCCTGAGTCCACCCTTCTCTGGTGGGACTACGGTTAGGGAAAGTAAAGGCGGCTGGGCATAGTGTTGGCCACACTATCTCTTCATATGCCGATGTCACTTAAGCAAGTAAACTCTACTTAACCTGCCAGATGGACTTCCAAGTTAACCATAGCTTAGTTCTTTATTGTATCGGTGCATTTGATCAATGACAAAAATCTAACACAAATTTTGAAAGGGACTATTTTTTGAGGGGATGGTGTGGTCGAATGGTAGAGCGTTGGTTCGGATCTGGGTTGGGACTTGTAACCTTAGAAAGTCTCCGAGTCCAACCAGCTCTGCTGGAATACTCACATACGCTGGGGTAAGTAAAGGCAGTTTGGCATAGTACTGACCACACAATCCCTTCATATACCGAGATCAAGAAACATACATACGCACTTGTTTTTCCCCAGGGATAGCTAGGTCAAAAGGGGAATCTCTTCTTTATGTTTCTTAGTTCTTCATTGTATTGGTTCATTTGAGCAATGACACTATCGAACACATTTTTTAGCCGGGCTAATTTATTCTAGTTACTTGTTACATCATTTAATCAGGAGCCGGACGTTTTCCCGAAAGACACTTGCTTGAATGCAGTTTGCATGAAGGCCGATTTCTCGAATGGACACTTGCCCGAATGCGTTAAATGTCCGAATGGACACTTGCCCGAATGGGACAAATGCCCGAATGGACACTTGCCCGAATGCGTTAAATGTCCGAATGGACACTTGCCCGAATGGGACAAATGCCCGAATGGACACTTGCCCGAATGCGTTAAATGTCCTAATGGACACTTGCCCGAATGCGACAAATGCACGAATTGGCACTTGCCCGATTGCGACAAATGCCCGAATGGGCACTTGCCCGAATGCGACAAATGCCCGAATGGACACTTGCTCGAATGCACTAAATGCCTAAATGGACACTTGCCTGAATGCTTCAAATGTCCAAATGGACACTTGCCTGAATGCTTTAAATGTCCAAATGGACACTTGCCTGAATGCGACAAATGCTCGAATGGACACATTTACCCAAATACGACAAAGGCCCGAAAACTACTTGCCCGACGGCTGTTTGCCCGAAAAAAATGCATTTAGGCAAGTGGCTTTCGAGTGTTTAAAGTAGACATCTTTTAATCAAAGGCCCAGATCTAGAAGAAGCAACACGCAGGACCTTCTTGTTTTTGTACACACCAATGTGCTCGTGATGAACGATCCAATGCTTCTTGAAGATATTTTTATCCAGAGGTGGCGTCCAGTGTTTCTTTTAGACTTTTTTCTTCCGGTGGGTACTTTAAATTTATTTTATTTGGGGGGGGGGGGGGGGGGGCGGACACGTAAAAGTATATCTTTTCTTTTCGTTCGGGGGGGGGGGGGGGGGGGTTGTAAAAAAAATTTGGGTGGGGGGGGGGCGAAGAGATGCATGGAAGAAACGCTGGTGATGAACCGGGCTTTTGAAACTTTCTGGGAAGGGGGGGGGGCAGAAGATGAGTGAGGAGTTATAAGTCTGGATTAAAAAATTACTTTCTGTTTAAAATATAAAAAATAATTATCTCGGGAGACGATGGGGGAGGGGGTTAAAGGGGTTTGAGGGGCGGACATTCTCCTGAATTAGCCATGCTCCCCTCTTCCTCCCACCCCTAGGAGAGATGCTTGAAACGAAACCCTTATACTGTTTTTTTCCCGTATCATCTTAGCTAAACTCCTTCATATTGTTGGCCTATCTCTAAAATGAACAAAGCTTCCTTCCTAAGTAATGCCCAACACAGTAAACTTCAGTCACCATAGCCGCACCTTGTTCACCGATTCACATTGTAACCTTATGGACAGCTTAAAATTGCCACGTCGCTATATTAGATACATTGACATGCGGGGCAGAATTTTGTAATAAATAATGTTTAGTTAACCCACAAATTTAATTAAACCCGTATACATCGTACACAGGCAGTGCTTAAAATTGTGTTCTCGAAGATAATTAAGATATTATATCCAAACACAGTATATCCTGTAAACAAAACAATCACACATTTTTACTTTTCACATAGCTGGATATGTATACGTTAAACCAATACCTTAGGTAATGCTATCCATTAATTGAGCATATACATGTTGGTAACAATTTTACAGCATTCTGTAAAATGAAACAATATCCTGATTTATTTATTTTTTCGCTTGAAAACAACAGATTGCCTTATTAATACGAAACAAGAAAAAAATAATATTCAACCGTATGAGAAATACATTTACAGATTTTTGTTTAAATCTTGAAGGGTGAAATCTAAATGACATGTATATTGTAAAGATCTCACATTTAAAACGTAAACGATATCTATCCCGTCTACAGAGGCGTAGCGATGGGGGGCAGGGAGGGACATATGTCCCCGGGCGCCGAACTTAGGGGGCGCCAAAATGGGTTGTAAAAAGAAATTAAAATGTCAATTTAGCTGCATTTTTGCAGTTTGAGGGGAGGGGGTGCAAATCGAAAAGTTGAGGGGGGGGGTTGCAAATTGAAAATTTGCTCCCTAGGGGGGCGCTAGATTAAAAGTTTGTCCCCGGGCGCCGGGAAGGGTCGCTTCGCCTCTGCCCGTCTATCCCACTTGTCTGTCTTTCTTTATGTAAATGACCGGTGTTGGCCTTAAACGTAAAAAAATGTTTTCAAGTACTCTACATTCGCAATTTTTAAAACATTAATTCTTAAAATTTAAAATTTTGAATTCTTAAAATTTTAAAATTATTTTTTTTAGTGCCGGTATGAAGGCGAAATTGACAAAAACATGATTTTTTTCCCCTTGTCAACGATAATGATGGAATGATTTCTCAACTCGGTGATGTCCATTTCGTATTGCCCGTCATAATGCTTTTCTGGATTCGAATTCAATTTGCGTTATATACATATATATGTATATGTATATATATATATATATATATGTATATATATATATATATATATATATATATATATATATATATATATATATATATATATATATATATATATATATATATATATATATATGTATGTATGTATATATATATGTATATATATATATATATATATATATATATATATATATATATATATGTGTATGTATATATATATATACATATACATATATATATATATATATATATATATATATATATATATATATATATATATATATATATATATACATATATATACATACATATATATATATATATATATATATATATATATATATATATATATATATATATATATATATATCGAAAACCGTCTAACTCTGAAAATGTAAATTTTACAGGAGAGACAAAAATAATAATCGCCATACATATTTCTCTATCGCGCCGTAGTATTTTCATAAGACAATAATGTCTTTTTGTTTTAGATACAGAGTTTTTTTTTTGCAGCATTACAGTTTCTGATACAATGGTGAAGATCTTTACAATGAGATTTTTTTTAAGCAAGCTATTTTTATGTAGGTAGCCAACCTACGTTTTGGACCTCGCTGTCCTTGAGGGAGATGAAGTAGAGTTGATATTTTTCTGTGGGCACGGCATATTAAGAGGGAGATTGCTAAGTGCTGGTAACAGTTATTTCACTTTCTGTAAATTATCTCGGGCACTCATCAGAGCTGGGTTGACTCAGAGACATACGAAATCATATTTTGGATTCTTCTTCTTCGTTCTCAATTTTAGAGCTTGAAGGGATTCCCCCCAACACAAGAATACGTGTCAACTGGCTAAGCGCCATTGAGGCCATTGACTATGATTTCAGCCTGCTTTTCTTTTTGGATTTGCTTCCATAGCCTTTGTCCAACCAAGAACAAAATACAAGGCAGCAGTTGTTTGATTTTGGAGCTGTCTCTCCTAGAAGGGTGGCTGTTCCCAGCTAACGAACCTCATCTGCCCGAGGGTTCGAATTAGAGACTCTTCGGTTTAACAACCATGAGCTTTACCGACTCGACCACACCAACCCAAGTTGGGATTCGAACACCAGCCATTCGGAGTTACAAACAGCGTGTGTTATCTTCCTATCTCATCGTCCTATATGTTTTGTAATTCGTGTAAGCAACACATTCATGCCTTTGTTACATTTGTCTTTTTGAGCATTGTGGATGATATCGATTTTTAAAACACGCATTTTTGCACATTCAATTCAATTTTGTGAACAGACATCAGCTTATGAAATCAACATTTTAAGACTCAGTTAATTCTCAAATAGGTAACAAATGATACTATCTCTACGATTAAATTAAAATATCTTATAGACAACATACGACAGCGAACTACTTTTAATCTGTTTTTAGACCATGAAAAACTCAATGTGTTGTATTTGCAATTATTATCGGATCAAAATATTCGAATTTCCAACTTTATGAAATATAACAACATCTCACAAAGTACTTAACTAAAAGAATAATTACAATATTTTAAAATATCTTTATTGATGAAAACAACGCACAAAATAAATGAAATACTTTATTTTCAACGATTTTTTTTATTCATTGGAAGTTTTCGTAAATATCAAATTTTCATCAAGTTAGTCATTCTCTTTCTTTGAACTCTACATTTTATCTTTTAATAAATGTGCACATTTTATTTGCCAAAGATCTAACATTAAAATGCTTTTGTTGTTTCTTTGTTTTGATTTTCCATACACTTGGATAGCCAGAATGTTCAGGCGCTTAGCGTATATCCACAAGGCGCACGCTTCACTAGAACCCCAAGAAAACCTGCGGGCCAATCCGATCTGTAGAATTTAAGTCAAAATTACAATGTAGAAAATATTTCAACCAAGAACAAACTACAAGGCAGCAGTTGTTTGATTTTGGAGTTGTCTCTCCTTGAAGAGAGGCTGTCCCCAGCTAACGAGCCGACCCCCTATTATTACCTTGCTATGGAGAAATTAATTAGGGATAAAGACAAGTCAGGAGCCTATGACTGCAAATAAGAAGGAGCAAGTGGCGCTGGGTGGAACACACACTGCAGAAGGCTCGGCCAAATGTGACACGCCAGGGCGCTTGAGTGGAACCCCCATGAAAAGCGGAATAAATGGCGCCCAAGGCAGACCTGGAAGTATAGTGTTCTTGAATAACTGAAGCCAGCAGCTATGTCTTGGATATGGTGGAGGCCATATGTCTTATAAGGAACAAAGAGGACTAAAGAAGAAGAAGAAGGAGAACAACTTGCTATAGGAGTGAAAACGCTACTCAGCAAACATTGGAATGAAACTCTCAGGGAAAAAGTGGGAAGATCAAGAACAGTGGTTCTTAATCTGGGTTCGATCGAACCCCAGGGGTTCGTCGAGACAGTCCGAGGAGGTCAAGACAACACCCGACTCGCATGAGCCATGATCGGATTTTGTTAGTGCGAACGATAGAGCTATTAAGAATGGTTCGTTGAATACGAATATGAAACTGGTGGGGGTTCGATACACCAAAAAAAATATTAAGAACCACTGTACTTGAACTTCATATATAACTACTGTTACATTCGAAGCAAGTTTTGGGTTGAAACCCACAGTGAAAGAGAAACGTGGACAGAAATCTCGGAGAAGGACTGTTGAAAGGGAAACAAGGGATGCGGGATTTAAAATGGACCAAGTATTTAGGGCCGCCCAAAATACGTGTACCTGTAGCCCTTTGCTCCTCGATGCTTCATGGGAATAAGTCTAAGTCTATTATATTGTGGTTTTTTTGTGTAAATAAACTAACCAAATTTGTTTACAATAACAAATGTATTTATAAATAAAAAAATAAATTTAAAAAGAAATGAAACAATATTATTCTCTTTTAAAAATAAAGTATATTAGTATTAAGGATACAATATTGTTTGTATAACTATAAAGAGAAGCAATGTTTACTATATAAATTACTGATTGCCCATGCTTATTATGTTTTAGTTAGTTATATAAATCATTTCCATTTATTTTTAATTTTTTTATTCCTTTATCTAAACTCTTTTTTTATTTTCACTCAAATTAAATATCACAACTAAAACACATTCCCAGTAAATGAACGCTGGGTATTATGTGCAATGAGACTAAAAGAATCATGCTCTATTTAGAAATCTTAAAGTAATCGTTTAAAAATTTATTAAACGTTCCATTATCTTAAAATTCACATGCGATTCATAGTCATCTAGTCTAGACCTTTTTGTAAAGTTTAAAACGAACCAGCTAGAAAGAATTGGGTGATATTTTATTTTTTTCATCCACGATGTAGAAAAATAGTCAAAAGAACGAGCAATTAAGTAAATCACAAGCTTGTAATACAATTGGAATGATGCAATTTAAAAAAAAATAGCTTCCAACAATTATTTCTTGTAAGTACTGACTTTTTATCAAAGTGATTTGTTTTCAACGTTTTGAACACGGTTCCACTGGCGAGTTTGATTTTGAATCCTTCGCACGACCACTCGGCAGTCAAGTCTTGTGGTGCCTAATGTAAACAAACAAAGAGATTTATAATTTTATACATAACATTGGCACACATAGTTTCTGAAGTAACAAAGATAAATATGTTGTGATCTTTGAAATTATTCAAAAGGCATGTATATATTGATCTGCTTGCAATACATTTTGCCGCCATGTTGATTGTATTCTAGCAGAAAATATCGCTTCCTTAAAACCAGACTGTTCTGACTCTACTTGTCGAAAATGTTCACAACAAGGTTTTTAAGTTTTATTCCCCTATTAGTAATGTATTAAGGACTTGGTGTTTAATAATGGAGAAAAAAATGGCTTCGAAATTTTTTTATTATGATGCCTTGGAGGATAAAAAAAATACGTGTATAAATCTATAAAACAAATTGGAGTTAAAACAGTGTATTGGTGTGACGTGTATGAAAGGTGTATTTATGTACGTGGGAAGGATCACTGCATGTGTGGTTGGTAAAGTTTGTTGTATTGATGTGTGTGTTGTTGTACGGAGTGAACGAGGGTAACAAGGGAAGCGACTGGTCGAGTGACAGCGTTGTGTTGGCTCGGCAACTCGGTATATAGACATGATTTTTTAAATCAATGTTTAATTACTTAAACTTTTAAAAATAGTATAGAATCACGTAGAAAAAATAAATTGCGCACCAAATGAACAGCAAACATGAATAGTGTGGAATATTAGTACTTTATAAATTCATGTATTTTAAATTTTTTTTTGAGAAATCGGAAATAGTCAAAAGTAATACTACCGGTAAACGGAAATTACTCAAAATTTTACAGAGGGCAGCATAGAATTAAATCTTTTACTTATATGTGTGATTTCGCCTATCTATCTGAAACAGTACTCACGTTTTGAAAAACCAAAAGTAGAATAAGTAAACGAAAGTAAAAAAAGCATGACGTCATTTATGGATTTATGAAAATCTGTAGAAAAGTTCTTACAAAAGAGTATATATACATGGTCATTTAGTTTGTAAAAGAACTGTTAGAAAACAAGTTGTAATATTATTCTATACATACGGGAAATTTCCGTGTGCATCCTGGGTACAAGCCCTTAAATATGTCATCATAGTAGTTATACCGAGAAAATATTCGAGTACAACGTCCTTTGTGAATAAGCTTATTTTTAGTCAGTCGATCTTTAAAAAAGTTTACTCGTTGTGAGTGGCTGTTTGGGCTATGAGAAAACATATACAATTATATTAAGACTCCGGGGAAAGAATAGGGCTGGTAAGTAGGTCACCAACCAGTTCTATGTCTCAATAAAACCTGCATGAGCCATAGAACTGGTTGGTGACCTACTTAACAGCCCTATTAGGGAAAACAACTTTTGTTTAAAGTTAATAAGCCTTCTTTTTATTTATTTGTGCGTATGTAAGTTAAGGTATTTATGGAAAAAAATATTTGCATGCATCAGGGACTCTTCATAATATATGGTCGCCATGGAAACGGAGGCCATTTTGAAAAATAAAGATCTTTTTTGTGGAAGTCCTAGGGTTTGAAAACTAACAAAAATATTGATCATGTGATCGTTGATCCTTCTTTAACTAACTCTAATGGAATCAGCTAACTAGTTTATGTAACAAAAAACACTCAAGGTGTATCTTTTTTCGAATATTTAAAAGTTTTGAAATACCATTACATTTATTATTTATTTTAATAGTGTTTCACAATAGCAAATTTTGAAAATTTGAAAAAAAATATTTCTAGAGTGTTCTTTTTTAACCTTGAGACCTTTACAAAAACGCTGTTTTTTTCAAGATGGTGGCCGTTGCCATGCAAATATTTTCATCTAAGTACTCTAACTTAGATAGTCACAAATATATAAGTAAAGCTTATTATTAAAGAAGGTTTTTTTCTGAAGCCGAATCACTTAAAAATTATTTTATCGTAAAAAAACTCATTAAAAAGGTTTAAAACAACAATTTTTTGTGTAGATTAACGCACAATTTTTTTTTTAAATTTGATTTTCCAAAATATATAATGATGCACTACTACATAAATATCTATAAGAAATGCATGCACAGCAATATTATTTTTTATTAATATTATATATTGAAAACCCATTTCTAAAGTTTTTTTTGGGTGACCCACGTCTTTATTTATAAATATATTATAAAGTGCTGCATATATTATACATTTCTAAACATACTTTTCTTTTCTTCCTTTTGTTCATGAAAACATGAGTCCTATTTTACAAGATTCGTTGGAATTAAATGTTTCTTTCTGCTTGACATGGTAATGCTATACTCGTATTTTACCGAAACTAAGATGTCGATAAAAACATAACCAACATGTTTTTAATTAACAAATGAGGAAGTATTAATATCGATCTACATTAAACAGTGTCTGAGCTAGAAATAAAGACCCCCTTCCCCAGCATAAAACGTTTTCGGGGCCCTCTCCTATATATAGTTATACATATATATATATATAATATATCGTGTGCAAGTATACACCTTATAAAGTAGTGCTAATACATGATTTTTAATGAATCGAAATAAAAGGGCATGGAGTTGCCCCGTGTTACCCTATATATATATATATATATATATATATATATATATATATATATATATATATATATATATATATATAGGCCCCTATATAACCAAAAATTAATAATTTATATTGTGGTTTTGTACAATTTCAAAGACATGATCATAAAGTATCATGGAAGTGATCTAAACATTTGCCCATTTTTCACAATACAATTTTCATAGTTTGTTAGCTTTCTTCAATTTATCTAAGTGTATTAACTAATTTAGAATAATCTCCGCTGAAGTAGATTGGTTCTTTCTGTTTGCAAAACCATTATCAAGGTGCACAATTTTTTTCTGATATTGAGCTCTCTAAACTACTTGAAATCTCCAATCCTTTCCCCTAATTTCGGTGTCTGGACGGTATGGTAGTTCTGCCCCTGACTACAAGTAAAATAATCTTCTCAAAAAATTATCATTCCAATTTTTTAAATTGTTTACAACATTTTTAATAACCGGTATTTTTGAAATTACCATCAGTTAATTAATCTTAACACAACTTCATAAAAGTGGACTGGACAAATAGATTTCTAAAACATAAATAATTTCACTAATTTCAATAAACTAAATGTTATTAAAACGTGAAATGTTTCATTAATTTGATAGACTAAATGTTATTTAAACGTAAAATATGTTACTAATTTGAATAAACTCAAACGTTAAATATTTCACTAATTTGAATAAACTAAATGGTATAAAACATTAATTATTTCAGTAATTTGAACCAACTAAATGTTATTAAAACGTAAAATTTTTCACTAATTTGAATAAACTAAATGCTATTAAAACGTGAAACATTTCACAAATTAAAATAGCTAGTGAATATTAAAACGTGAAATATTACAGTAATTGTACTTCGTTTGAGCTTAATTAATGAACCTACATCCTGACTCCCGATGTAAAGTTGTGAGCCTTTACGAATATTCGACCACTGTTTAGCGCAACACCAAGCAGAGATTTCCGTACCTGCCGACCACCTTCCCATTCATCGAAATAGAACATCAGGTCCTAAACCAAAATTTTATATCAATATATATATATATATATATATATATATATATATATATATATATATATATATATATATATATATATATATATATATATATATATATATATATATATATATGTATATATATATATAAATATAAATATAAATATATATATGTATATATATATATATATATATATATATATATATATATATATATATATATATATATATATACATATATACAGCAATGTATGTGTATGTGTGTGTGTCTGTATGCCTGTGTGTCTGTCTTTTATGCAGGACTGCACCTTTCATCCGGTTGCCGTGAAACTTTGGAAAGTTGTTGAGAATATTTATGGGGAGGTTTCTGCGAAAAAAATATTTACAAAATCGCAGTGGTGGCGCCCCGGAAGTCCGCGATTTGTTTTTTCTCTATATACGGTTTATAAAAAATAATAGTCGATTGCGGTTCGACACCTTTCACCCGATTGCCATGAAACTTTGTTGAGCTCATAAGAACACCCCCCGAAAGGGTTCTGTAAAAAAATCCTTTTTAATTTCAAAAGGGAGGGTGCGATTTTTCTCTATACATGGTATGTAAAAACAAAATGGGCGGCCCCCGGCAGGATGCGATTTTGCGCCCTGGTCTTTCAAGTGGGCGCTATGACGACTACGTTCGATCTAAACAGTGTGATAGACATAAGAAGGTGCTTTAAAGTCGCTCAGGTGTGTACGCCGGCACCCTGGTAGGGTGCGATTTGGCTGAAAAGTTGATACGGATCTACAAATTTGATACAATACTCATATATGAAATTTCATCAACCTAGCTGTGTTAGCGTGTTTACAGACACACACACATACACACACATACACAGACAAGTTTGCAAAACTATGTTTTTCCGACTCAGGGAGGTGTAAAACGTCGAGATTTGCAAAAATCTCGTTTTTTTTTTTTTGCACGATTACAATATACTCTATACTTTCTCTATACTTTGTATACGAGAAAGTAAAAAAAAATCAAATTCGCAGTGGTGGCGCCTCGATAGGGTGCAATGTTTCTTTTTTCCCGGTATGTAAAAAAAAAATACGGTCTGACACCATTCATCCGAGTGCTATGAAACTTAGGGGAGTTGATTAGAAAACTAGAGGGGAGGTTTCGGTAAAAAAAATATTTTTTTAAATTTTGCAAGGGCGGCGTCCCAGGAGGTTGTGATCTTCGTAAATACACGGTTAGCATAAGGCATCCGTTATTCAGGCGTCCTGCATAGCGGGTAAAAGGTTCTACTATATTTCGTTGTAAAACTGCAACAGGCGCAACTGCCGGCTTCCGTCGCTAGCTCGACTCGAAGCGCCATGCGAGCACTGTGTCGCCTATGTTCGTTTTTTTTTTTTTTAAACCCGTTGTACACTAAAGACACGATGGGCAACAATACTAAAGATACAATGGACAACAATGATTGTTGACCATATCGAATAAGACGCGTCCCTCGGCGCCCGTGCAGGGTTCGATTTGGCGCCCTTGGCTTTCCCGTGAGTAATATGGCGACTACGTTCGTCCTAAACAGTCCTATAGACAATGGATAAAATGGGGCGTTATTGTTGTCACTAAATTGAATCAGGCGCGTTCGCATGAGCCCGGCAGAGTGCAATTAGGCACCCCGGGCTATCATGTGAGCTCTATGGCGATCATATTCGTTTTAAGGAGCCAGAGGCCGTGGGCGGCGCCCCTGCGATAGTGTAATTTGGGGCTCCCGAGAGCACCCCTCAACTTCACTGACACCTGCGCGATCACCAAAGTGTGTTTTACCTCACTGCTACTGCTAATGATTGACGTACACTCAAGGCTTTCATGCGGTAGTGTATGTAAACCCATGCCCCAATAGATATGAACCAAACGCAGGCATTGTTTACATCTAAATAACTCAGTTTTAGAAAACAATGTCACACGTCTAAGAATAGAATATAAGCTAGTATATATATATATATATATATATATATATATATATATATATATATATATATATATATATATATATATATATATATATATATGTGTGTGTGTGTGTGTGCGTATGTATATATGTAAGTGGAATAGGATCTAACTAGAAACCGACATTTAATCGGAAACTGAACTTAAACCGGAATCTGAAATTTAGCCGGAAACGTTATTTAAAACGGAAACAAATATTAAATTCCAAAGTGCATTAGACCAGAGTCATAACTTTACCCTGACTGAAATCTAAACATAAATCTACGCAAAATCCGAAAACTAAACTTCTAAACCGGACTCTTTTTTTTTAACCGGTAGCTAAATTGAACCCGAATACAAAATTTCAATGGAAATAAAACATCATTGTATCCGGATAAGGAATTCGAACCGAGAATGAAAATAAAATTGGAACAGGAACTTTATTCGGATCCAAAAATTCAATCCAACTCGAATCAGGATATTAAAACCGGATTTTGAAATTTAGGCGAGCGTAATTTTTAAAGGAATCAGAACATTTATCTAAAAATTATATTTTACTCTGACCAAAGGAAGAGAGGATAGTGTCGAATTCACAAATTATGAATTACTGAAAAGTAGAAAATAAAACAACTAAATAGCGGCGTATGCTTACGGCGCGGGTCAGCTCGTATCTATCTATATATATAATTCTCTTCTTCGAGCCGTTAGAAAACAAGCTGCAAGCGCGCTCCCTAACATCCCCACCCCTACATGATCTTAGTGAGCTGTGGTTCACGCTATGTTTACCTTCGTGGAGTTGGGTTTAGTGACGGCTATTAGGGGCAGATAATTTAGTTTGAAACGATTTTAAACGTGTGGGGGGGGGGGGGGGGAAGGAAGGGGGGGGGGGTTATGGTCCTTAACGAGCTACTTATAGTGTTTTAAAGAAATATTTTCAGTGTCAGCGTTGGTACTGTCGAATTCACAAATTATGAATTACTGAAAAGTAGAAAAAACAACAACTAAATAGCGGCGTATGTTATGCCGCGGGCCGGCTCGTATATATATAATTCTCTTCTGGGAGACGCTAGAAAACAAGCTGTAAGCGCGCTCCCTACCACCCCCACCCCTACATGGTCTGGTGAACTGTGGTTCACGCTGTTTACAAGCAGAGCCGGGTTTAGTGACGACTATTAGGGGTAGATAATTTAGTTTGAAACGATTTTAAACGTAGGGGGGGAGGGGGAGGGGGGGTAACTAAGTGGAGTTTACTTTAACGGAGAGGGGGGTTATCGTCCTTAACGAGCTACTTATAGTGTTTTAAAGAAATATTTTCAGTGGCAGCGTTGGTACTGTCGAATTCACAAATTATGAATTACTGAAAAGTAGAAAATAAAACAACTAAATAGCGGCGTATGCTTACGGCGCGGGTCAGCTCGTGTTTATATAAAACTGAAAACTACTCACAGTGTTTCCGTTCAATTCTGTTTTATAAGGTGTTATGCTAGCGTTGTAGTCGAACGGTATCACAGTCCCACTTTCAGTGGTTAACGTTGAATTGCCGTAATGCCCGGCAAAAATCAACAAGAAGTTGGAGAACCACTGCTCATAATGTTCACACTCACCGCTAGTTGCTTTTCCGTTGACATTTCAAGCAGACGATGTATGAAAGGTTGTAGCAAATGTTGGATTAGAAGGTTGATTAAAAAATGAAACGCGAGAAATAAGGAAAGGTGGCTTATAATTTTTTTTAATGTGAATTAAATAAATTCGTAAATAAATAAAGCGAGAGTGATCTTCTTTAAAGTTTATCGAATATACTTTTATAACACTACGGAAGATGGCAACTCGGGATATAGACATGATTTTTAATTAAATTTTAATTTCTTAAACTTTTTAAAATAGCATAGTATCTCGTAGAAAAAAAGCATTGCGCACCAAGTGAACAGCAAACAAGGTGTGATAATAGTGCATGATATTATTCGTAATTTATAAATTCATTTTCGTTTTTTTTTTTTTTTTGAGAAATTGGAAACAGCGTAAAGTACTACTTCCGGTAAATGGAAATTACTCAAAATGTTATAGAAGGCAGATATCAGATATTTTACTTATATGTGAAATTTCGTCTATCTATCTGAAACAGTACTCAAGTTATAGGCTTTTGAAAAACCAAAAGTAGTGTAAGTTCCACTTCCGGTTACCGGAAATCGCTGAAAAGTTGACAAAGAACTACAAATGTTATACAGTATTTGTATATGAAATTTCATCAACCAATCTGTAAGAGACACACATCCACACATACGCACACACACACACACGGACAAAATTGCAAATTTTTTTCCGGCTTAGTGAGGTCTATAAATTATATTTTTCGCACGATTACAATACTTCCTGTATAGACCTAATTCGAATACGAGAAAGTAAAAAACGAATAAGAGAGTTGTACTCACAACGAACACTTAGACCAATCAAAAGCGATAAACTAATCAAGGCTGTCTTTACCATCTTTCTTCAAGCTATAAAATTCGAAAAAATATATCTGTGATATATGTTAATTATCAAAGCTGAAATGTAGTGATTTACAATACAATAGTGGGTTTTTTTCCCAATAAAAGCCGCGCCAAAAAAAGTTCACCCCATCACACAAAAAATATTTTAAAAAGAGGATATGGAACGCGTACTTTTAGTTTTAAACCCTAACTCCAACCCCAACCCCAACCCTAACCCTGACCCCAACACAAACCCCAAATTCAGATTCATCAATATAGTCTAATGGTAATATATAATATTGAACTTTTTCGGATAAACAACCTTCTTGTGTTTGTCCCATTCGGGCAAGTGTTCATTTACAAAAACAGCATTCGGGCAAATGTCCATTCGGGTAAACGGCATTCGGGTAAATGTCCATTCGAGAAAACGGAATTCGGGCCAAATATCTTTCGGGAAAAAGTCCGGCTCCCCTAAGGGACAAGAGAAATTTTACAAGTTGCCCCCAAATCAAGATAAACAAAAATTATTGCGCATTCCCCCCCTTTCTCCCTCCCCCCCCCCCAGTGGCGGAACTAGAAAAAATGGGCCACCCCGCAAAAAAATTTTTTGGGCCCCCCATATATATATATATATATATATATATATATATATATATATATATATATATATATATATATATATATATACATACACACACATACAAACACAATACGAATATAGGATACTCCTTTCTAGCCTGATCGGGTTTTGAAAAAAAAATTCAATTAAATCTAATCACAACAGCATGTCATGTGTATGAGTGCATTGGTCTGTTTTGCAAATCTCTGTTTTCATTTATGATAAATACTTCTAATCATTAAGTCGGTTAAAAGTATATGAAGCTTTGTATAAGTAATGGTGTCTCGTGTTATGTTTATTTTTATGTTATTTTTTGTATTTATATTATTAACTTTAACTACGTTTCATTTTTATACTATACCATTCTTTAGTACTTATTTTTTTTAAAATAATAATTAAGATAAGTAATTGCTTTTTAATTTGATTATTAAAAATCTATTAAAAAGAGCTTTTGAGCACCCCTATTTTACTATTTGAAAAAGGGAAATAATTAATGGAAATGGTTTGAACGTTTGCCTATCTTTCACACTACAGCTGTGTTTATTATTTTTTTATTTTTTTACGCAACAGCATGTCTTAGCTACTATATAACATCACTACTGTATTAGATCTGTATTCTGTTTGTTACTTACAAAACCACTATCAAGTTGCCAGTGACGAAACTAATATATATATATATATATATATATATATATATATATATATATATATATATATATATATATATATATATATAATCTGTATCTAAACAGAGTAATTTAGTCTACTTCATTGCAATATATAACCATTCTTTTTTTTTTTTTTTTTTTTTTTTTTTTTTTTTTTTTTTTATAAATAAATACTTTTATTTGCAATTTGCAATTTAAAACAAGTACATCAACATCAAATTCTTACATAATTTCGAACATCAAATGAAAACGAAATAGTAATACAATATATTACAATATATTACAATAGTAATATTTCTTTCTTACTTGTAGCCTGCTTTCATTCATTTAAGATGGTTTACATATACATAGATGTAATACAAAACGTCTAAATATAAAGAAAAATTAAAAATTAAAAACCATCCTGAAACTGAAAATGCAAATATGTAATTAAATGATGATTCAAGGGATTTTTTTTCTCGGCGTGGTGGGCTGAGGGGACGAGGGGGGAAAGGGGGAATTTGTTTTTGTTTTAAAGTAGAGCTGAAATGAATTTGGGATTACAGAGAATTAAAATGATATAAATTTTAAGCAATCGGAAAAGTTATGTTATTACAATGAGACACGTAAAAGCAAGCACTCTTCCCTTTCAAACATCTATATCTATACAGTCCTCAATTAGTTTTTTTTTCTTTTTTCTTTTTTTATTGTTTTATTAATTCAATTGTTTTAAACATTTAAATCAGTAATAATTATTTATTTGATAGATTTTACACAGCATCAAAGACATGAACATCAATTGCATATATAATAATCAAATGGAGAAAATAAAATGGCATAAGAACTAGACTAAAATAAGGTGTGCAAACTAGGTTTCTCTTGACTGCTTAGTTTACTGTGCTTTGTCCTTAGCTGAGGAGTCAAAAGTTCACATTGTAGCCGCCCATGGACAGAAATAGAAACGACCTTGGGAGAAGTGTCTCTGCAGTACACATACTGATCCATCACTCCAAAACTTTCCATGACATAAAATTGACCCTTGGCAAAGAGGTCACGCTACCTTGAAAAATCTTAATATATAACCATTCTGAGAGAACAAACTAGACACATTTTCTTTATTCTCTTCCCTTTCATTTATAACTGGTCAAAAATATATAAAGACGTAAGCTTAATTCGTGAATGGTTTCTCGCGTTATGTTTATTTTTTTCATTTTTGGCTTTTATAATATCAATTTTGAAAACATTGATTTTTATATCTATACCATTGTTTAGTACGTCTTATTTAAATAACAATTCAGAGAATCAATTGCTTTTTACTATACATAGTACAAAACTATGTAAATGAGATTCGTGGGCATCCCTATTTTAAAGAAGGGCAGTAAGTCATGGAAGTTGTGTGAATGTTTGCCTACCTTTCAGACTATAGCCCTTGGAGATTTTAAAATATTTTTCTACGCAACAATCTCTGCTATAGTAGACCTGTTTTTTTTTTTTTTTTTTACAAAACCACTTTTAAGATGCATGGAAAACATAATTTTTGAAAAAAAAATTCATTGTTTTTTGGTCGGAAATGGGCCCCTAAACGTCCTGGGCCACCCCGCACTGCGGGGTCTGGCGGTATGGTAGTTCCGCCCCTGCCCCCCCCCCCACCCCAATAATCATCCTCAGCTTAATGGCTAACCACGCGACACATTTGTATTATAAAAAAAAAATCAAAAGTACTTATGGCCCTAGTAAACAGAGGCGTAGCAAGGGGAGGGCGGGAGGGGCGTCCGCCGCGAGCGCCTACCTTAAAGTTGCGCCGAATCGGGTAAAAAATAAAATAATAAGCTTATTCCGAGCTGCATTACAGTCGAATTTTAAAAAAATATAAAGCTTCTTGTTGGTTATATGGACGGTTTTCTACGTTGCTTGTGTGATACGGGAAAAAACTATTAACGGTGACTGGTGAGTGTGTAGTCGAGGGGGGGGGGGTTCCCTCACGTGAATAAATATATAAATATTGGGGTGGGGGCAAAAAATTAATTTTTCGCCCCGGGCACCAAAATGGGTTGCTACGCCTCTGCTAGTACAGAACCGTTCTCGGTATTTCTTCCAGACTTTTTTTCTCCGGGAGGGGGAAATGGCGGGGGGGGGGGGGGGGCACTTGAAATTTTCGGGAGGAGTGGACTTAAATTTTCGGGAGGGGGAGGGGGGCGGACGCTGTTAAATATATATATATATTATATTCATAAATTCCATTTTGTTCGGGGGGGGGGGGGAGGTTGACTTTCCCCGTGGAGATGCCTGGCTGAAACGCTGACCGTTTTTGTGGGGTCCACCGATATTTTTTTTTGGAAGCCATCGAGATATTTCCCGTCAGGCCGGCGGGCCAGACCATATCTGAATACCGGTATTATTAATATACAATGGGAATAAACCACTGTTTGGTATATGTGACAACACTATTGGCTTGGCGTTGTACAGGTAGGCAGTAGCGTAGCGAGGGGGGGGGGGGCGGGGGGGGGACATATGTCCACGGGCGTCGACCTTAGGGGGCGCCAAAATAGGTTGGAAAAATATATTGAAAGGTTGACGTGGGTGCAAATCGAAAGTTTGAGGGGGGGGTGCAAATCGAAATCTTGATGGGGGGGGGGTGCAAATCGAAAGATTGAGTGCGTGGGGGGGGGGTGCAAATCGAAAGATTGAGTGGGGGGTGCAAATCGAAAAGACTGTCCCCGGGCGCCGGGAAGAGTCGCTACGCCTCTGCAGGTAGGTCATGCGCTACTACATTAGTGAAGTAAGATCGGAGTCGTGTATTGACATTGAGTTGACGTCCACTTTAGGGTGAGAAGAGACGGGGGGGGGGGGGGCTTGTTCAAACTGGGTGGGGTGTGGGGTGGAAGGGGTTGTTGCCTAAAACTCATATTTGTGTGTGTACAAGATAGACGAGCGATACTCCATTGGATTTTTCGGACTTTTTTCTCAAGGTGGTTGGGGTGGAGAGCACTTGAAACTATAGGGGAGGGGGAGGGTTGAGTCAAGATTTCGGGAGGGGGGTGGCACTGGTTGAAGTATATATGTTGTATAATTAACTTTTTGGAATGGGAGTGGGGGGGGGTAGACGTGCTTCGGAGATGCATGAAAAAATCCTCCCTAGTTAAGTAAATATAGTTTTAAAAAGCCTATCCAATTTTGCGCCTAAAGCTGATGTATAAATAAAATGAATAAAGTGAAGCTTGCAATTTGAGAAAAAGAATATTATGAATATACAGATATATACAGATATATACAGATATGAATATACAGATAAATAAAAACTGACTTACGGCGTACGAATCAGCAATCTTTAAATGGCCGATGCTGGGTTTAGTTTGTATGAAATGAAGCGTCTGATATCAGCCAGACAATGGCTACATCGAATTTAGAAGCATTCACCTAAAGAGTGATTTTATACGTGATAGACACTTCGCCAGGTGAGCCGAGAGTATTGTTGTGACCCAATCCAATGAGAGTAAGTTAATTGTATACTCAACCGTCCAATAGCTGAGTTTCCTTTTGGAATTGCCACGCCCACACAAGTCAAAACATCTTTGTGTTTATATGTTTATATATATATATATATATATATATATATATATATATATATATATATATATATATATATATATATATATATATATACATATATATATATATATATATATATATATATATATATATATATATATATATATAAATATATATATATATATATATATATATATATATATATATATATTTCTACAAGGGGAAACATTTAATTTTACAGTAAACAGTATACATTCTATTTTAATTAAAAATAACCAATCATTGTTTGTAAATTTTTAGATCCACGTCAAACGACAGTTACAGGTTAGTCTGTACTCAACTATTGGGGTCTGTAATTCACCACCTGCTATGTCCTACAGACTAACCCCCCCCCCCCCCCCCCCCCACACACACACACACCTTAACCTGGTGACTTTGAAAGGTTGGAGTTGTAGTGGTTGCGGTTGACGTTATTATGAAGAGTGTTGATAGTGTTAGGGGGGGGGGTGGATAATGGTAGCTGTAAAAGTGTTGAGGGAGTGTTTATCACATGGTAGGACATTGGTTTATAACATGATAGGACACTATATCAATAATAGAACAATGGTATATCACTATCAATGGTATAAAACATAATAGGACAATGGTATATTACATGATAGGGCATTCAATACGTGGCATAGAAGAGCGGTGCAATGGTGTATCACAAGATAGGACATTGGTACATCACATGATAGCACAATGGTATATCATATGATAGAACAGGGGACAACGTGGTCGAGTCGGTAACGCTCATGGTTGCTAAACCGAAAAATCTCGAGTTCGAACCCTCGGGCAGATGAGGCTCGTTAGCTGGGGACAGCCACTCTTCTAGGAGAGACAACTCCTAAATTAAAACAACTGCTGCCTTGTAGTTTGTTCTTGGTTGGACAAAGGCTATGGAAGCAAATCCAAAAAGAAAAGCAGGCTGAAATCGGAGTCAATGGCCTCAATGGCCCATAACCAGTTGACACGTAACGCTAAATTGTGTTGGATGCGTGGTCGAGTCGGCAAAAAGCTCATGGTTGATAAATTCGAACAAAGTCTCGAGTTCAAACCCACTGGCAGATAAATCTCGATCCCCTAAAACACTAATAATTAAGAACGAAGAAGAAGAAGAAGATATGATAGGACAATCGTATATCACATGATAGGAGATTGTTGTATCACATGATAAGACAATTGTATATCACAAAACATAATAGGACATTGGTATATCACATGATAGCACAATGGTTTATCACATATTAGGACAATGGTATATCACATGATAGGACATTCAATACGTGGCATAGAAGAGCGGTACAATGGTATATTACATGATATCCCTCCACAGAGGAAAAACAACAAAAGACATTGTCGTCATTAGGTTTCATTTATTGATTTAAAAAAAAAATATGTTATCAAGAATAATCTCCCATTGTTTTGTACGGTATTCTATTAATATAACTGTACCACAGAGGCAATCCTTGCCGCCTAAGTAATCGGCTAAACCGTACAGTAATCCAGTGGTTGTTACCTTTTTATGAGGTACCGAACCCCACATTATTCACTGAACCATTCTTAATAGTTCTATCGTCGACACTTATAAAATACTATTATGAATTATATGCGTCGGATGTGTTTCTAGATCTGCGACGAAACCCGAGACCGACTCACCGAACCCTGGGGTTCGATTGAACCCAGGTTAAGAACCACTGCTGTTACCGAACCAGGCAATGCGGTATAAGTAAAATGAGAAACTAGGCAATGATATTACCTCGGCAAAATGCATAAAATATTTAATCATAACATTTATTTAATGCAATAAAAATAATAAATACACATATATTTGAAACGTTCTATAATACAAGCCTTCGCTTAATTTTAATTAAAAGATACAAGATACCCACAAAGCAAATTTAACTAAGCGAGTCTAATATCTATTATAGGGTTGTCATTCTCTATACGTTTCCAACTAGCAAATAAACACATTCTTTACTTTAATGACCAGTATGGCTGGTCTTAGATACGGGAGTGTTTAATAAAGTTTAAGCTGATATCAGTTTACAACGAATTTACTTGGTTTAGGGATGGTAATTTAGAAATACATAATTCAAAAGTGTTGTATGTTATACAAATACGAGATCTTAGCTCAACAATGCAGATGTTGTATGTGGAATATGTAGGTGTAGGTGTAGGTATATCAGTGTCGTCGCTAGGTCTGGTATCACCCGGTGCGGCACTTCGTGATGTCACCCCCCCTTACATATATATATATATATATATATATATATATATATATATATATATATATATATATATATATATATATATATATATATATGGGGTGGGGGTGTATCTGTTGTCGAGATGGTCAATGTGTACTTATACGTTTTAAAACACTAATTATTCATTAACTGAACAGGCAAAAAGCATTTTTCTTCTATATAGTTTGCAATTTTACATCTTGGCGTCACCCCCCCCCTTCCCAAATGGTGTCACCCGGCGCTGACCGCACCCCCCCCGCCCCGCCTCGCGACGTCTCAGAGGTATATGCGTAAGTATGGATACAACTGAACATTTAGGTGCTATTGTAATTTGGAAACTGATAAAATTTTTAAGAAAGATTGTATCTATGCTTAACTGATGGTGTAATACAGTTGAGTGTTGAATAATATGTGTTTTAGTAACATTCTAAAGGTTTTAAAAAACATAGGTTGAATTATCTATTAAGACATATTTTGTAACAATCTGAGGTATTATAAAACAGAGGCTGAAGTATCTGTTAAAATAGATTTTGTAACAATTTGAAGGTTTTATAAAACAGAGGCTAAAGCATATGTTAAGATAGATTTTGTTTTAAAGCTGTTATAAAAACAGACTTGAGCATTTTGCATATTGAATTTCTGTCTGTAACTTTTTTGTAACGTTTATCCTTATTAAAGGTTCAACATAAACATAATATTTTTACTCTGATAAACTCAAGAAAGTCTCATAAAGTGGCAAAAGTTGGTACTATAATGTTAAATAGATAGATGATACAAGATGTTCGCAGATAAACATGACATATAATTTCTAATATGTGTAGTACTCTGTACGATGGAATATATATATATATATATATATAGTATATATATATATATATATATATATATATATATATATATATATATCAACAGCAAACTAATTTCGAACGTTACACTCCGTGTTGCAGGTGAGGTAGAGTTGACCTGTTTCAGTGACCTCGGCATATAACGAGTCGGTGTATTGATAACTATTCTTTACCTTTCCTTTCAGGATCCGAACTCGAGGATTTCGAATCGAACTCTCTACCATTCGACCACGCCGTCCCTGGTTGAAACTCCAACTTATAAAACGCACCATGTGTGTATCTTTACTGCTTCTGTATCGTCCATAAAATATCACCCAATTTTTTATAGGCTTAAGTGGGCTTTGGAAGACAGTTATGTTACTTTCTTACATTTTATGTTCTTTATTCTTATAATGTAGATACTGTAATGATGAAAATTTCCTATTTTTAATCGATAATATATTTAACGGTTGTAATTCACATTTCTTAGGTTTTTTTTTGGTCATATTTAATGGCACTAGTTTTGGGGGGGGGGGGGGGGGGGGGGGGAGGTTAAGTGATGCGTCAAAACGGCTATAACCTAGGGGTGGAACAATAGTGCCCCCAGACCCGCAAGGCGGGGGGGGGGGCAGGGCCGTTTAGGGGCCCATAGCCGACCATAATTAATATTTTTTTTTAAATTTAGAATTTAATTTTCGTGCATTTTTGCCTTTATATATGGTTTGTAAAAGAAAAATACTGTAGCTGCGGTACGATTATCTTGATTTTACACTCACTATACTACGTTCTTCTGCAAAAAAAAAAAATCCATTACACAAATTACAGTTTAAATAAAAAAATATGCCGAACTTCAAATTTTAATGACTGACCGATCCTCTAAAGAGTACTGTGGCGTAAGGGGCAGGGGATGGGGACCAAATACGGGGCTCCAAAATTGTCGTCAAATTTATTTGTATATTAAAAAAAAGGCAGAACTCGGCCTTGACGATGGTTAAAAAAATACAATCTCTATATATAATTCTCTACTTGGGGACTATGCCAGACACCACCACGTAAGGGCTAAGCCGTTCCTACCCCGCGTTCTAGGCATATCGATACCACCCCACCAGTCTAGTGAGCTGTGGTTCACCCCGAATGTTTACAATGTGACGGCTATTAGGGGCAGATAATTTAGCTTTTAAAAATTTTGAAACTAATGAGAGGTAAGAAGTTCTGCTTGATCTTTTCATTGTCGTCTGTAAACTGTGGTCTCGGACGGCTGTTTTCACGGGAGGGGAGGGGGAAGTAGGGGGGGGGGGAGAGGGTAGTGTTGAATAAATAAATTATGAATTACTGAAAAGAAAAAAAAGAAAATAACTAAATAGCGGCGTATGCTACGGCGCGGGTCAGCTTGTTATAAATATTTCCCTACAATCAAACACACGCTGTCGCCGGCAGAATTCTTTTTTTTTAAAAGTCCAAGCCCGAGAAGTCACTTCATATGGAGTTGGCTTTAATGATGCGCGGTTCTTATTTGCGGCATTGGTAAGGGACCCGAAATCCATTGTACATTTTTCAATGTTAATATGAGTCTGTGAAATTGGTAGAATTTCTATCCTGTACTATCCTCTCTTCTATAAATAATAAAAAATAATATAATAATATAAACTTCGGTTTTATATAGTTAACTTGTTTTTTGCTTTTACAAGAAATGTCATTGTAAACTTTTAGGGCCTATACTTTAAATTATCTCCCATGAGTAAGTTTTATACTGGGCGATGCTGAAGTACAAAGGCGTTTCGTTGTCTC